GATAAACAAGATTATACTGTATAGCACAGGGAAATATATACAAGATCTTATGGTAGCTCACAGAGAAAAAGATGTGACAATTAATATATATATATATATGCTCATGTATAACTGAAAAATTGTGCTCTACACTGGAATTTGACCCAACATTGTAAAATGATTATAAATCAATAAAAAAAAGTTAAAAAAAAGTCTTAGCCAGAACTTTGAAAAAGAACAAATTTTGAGGACTTTCACTACCTGAGTTCAAGGCTTATTATAAATCTATAGCAATAAAGACAATGTGGTACTGGCATTAAGACAGACAAAGAGAGCAATGGAACATAACAGAGAACACAGAAATCAACTCACTCATATACAGATAACTAATTTTTGACAAAGGTGTAAAGGCAATTCAGTAAAGAGTAGTCTTTTTAATAATGGTGCTGAAATGAGATATTCGTATCTTAAAAATGAAGTTTGATCAATACCTTGCATCCTATTAAAAAAAGAAAACTCAAAATGCACCATACACATAAATGTAAAACCTAAGACCCTAAAACATCTAGGAGAAAACACAGGACAAAATCCTTGTGAACATGGGTTATGCAAAATCTACAAAATAATAGGCAGATAATTTGAATTTCACTGAAATCAAAAAGTTCTTTCAAAAAAATTTTTAAAAACCTGTTAAGAGAATGAAACGAAGGAAAAGACTCAAAGAAAACATTTGTAAAATCTATAATCTGATAAAGGACTTGTATCCTGAATTTGTATAAAGAAGTCTCAAAACACAACAATAAGAAAACAACCCAATTTTTAAATGGGCAAGAGATTAAAACAGATGCTTGACCAAAGCAGATATATAAATGGCAAATAAGCACAAAAAAAAGATGCCCAAATTTTAAAAAGACAGACAATAATACATGTTGTAGAGGATGTAGAAAAAGTGGAATCCTTATATATTATTGGTAGGAATGTAAAATGGTATAGCTACTTTGGAAGACAGTTTGGCAGTTCTGAAAACGAAAATCATGGAGTTAACCATATGACCCAGCCACTCTCCTCCTAGGTATATACCCAAGAGAAATGAAAATGTATGCCCATACCAAAAAATTAAAACATACATCCACATAATATATGTACAAATATTCACAGCAATATTCATAATATTCAAAAAGTGGTAACCTAAATATCCAATAACTGATGAACAGAAAAACAAAACGTTATATATCTATACATAGAATTTGGCAATAAAAAGGAAGGAAGTACTGATACACACTACAACATGGAAGAACTTTTGACACATTATGGTAAGTTAAAAGAAGCCAGTCACACAAAAGATCACATATTGTATGATTCCATTTATGTGAAATGCCCAGAAGAAAATTCTTGGAGAGAGAAAGGAGACTAGTAGTTGCCAGAAGCTGAGGTGGAGTTTAAGGGAGCAGAAATGGGGAATGGTTAGTAATGTACATGGAGTTTCTTTCAGGGATGTTGAAAATGTTCTAAAATTAGATGGTGGTAATTGCTGCACAATTCTGTGAATACACCAAAACCCACTACACTGTATCCTTTAAATGGATGAATTTTATGACATGTGAAATATATTTCAATAAAGGTACAAAAATGAGAAAAAAAGATGCTCGACATCATTAGTCATTAGGGAAATGAAAATCAAAACCACAATGAGATATACTACACACCAACTAGAATGTCAAAAATTAAAGAGAAAGTATTGGTAAGCATTTGGAGTTACTGGAACTCTCATACACTGCTGGTACCATTTTGGAAAACAGTCTGGCAGTTCCTTCAAAAATTAAACATATACCTACTATACAACCAGGGGTTCACTTCTAAGTATTTACCAAGAGAAATAAAAATTTATGTCTAAGCAAAGAATCATGCACAGATGTTCACAGCAGCTTCATTTATAACAGTCAGAAACAGAAACAACAACCCAAATGTTCAAAAGATGAACTAATAAACAACTTGCAACATACCAAGACAACAGAATACAATTTGCCAAAAAAAGGAGTAAGCTATTGATACATGCTCCAACATGGATGAATATCAGAATAATTAAGCAGGGTGAAAGAGAAGTCTGACAAAAAAATGAATACAATTTCATTCATATAAAATTCTAAAAAGGATGAACTAATCTGTAACAGAAAGCAGATCAGTGTCTGTCTGGGGATGGGACAGGGGTGGTACTGAAACGTCCAAGAGTGAGTGAATACAAAGGAGCATGAGGAAACTTACCCAGATGACAGATAAATGCATTAAATTGATTATACTGAGGTTTTGTGGTGAACATTTTTGCCAAAACCCATCAGATTGTACACTTTAAACGCGTGTAGTTTATCAAATGCTAATTATACTTCAACAAAGATGCTAGCAAAGAAAAAAGATAGCTATATTCTTATATGTACCTCTTTAATTTGCTTTGATAATGTATTTTGGTTATGTATTTTAGAAAAACCCCAGCTTTACATAGATAGGTTTTTGCAAAAGAGATATTTTACTAGCCTTTTCTGATAATAGTGGATATTCTTCTTTGATACTACACCAAAACTTGGCACATGGTTTCTTAAAGGTAGCATCACAGGGTGGAATCTGAAACCAACCTTACACATTTTATAGGGTTACATTAAAATCCATTGGTCCATATTACACTTTGATGGGTCTCTCACCCTGTATGACTTTCACCTTGCAGACCTCTGAAAAAGTCTCGAGAACCTCTAGAATGTCCTGAACCACACTGTGGATTTAAATTATTCAATTTTTTAGAAGAGTTAAATTATCAACTAAGATGTAGGCAACTCTTGTGGCATAGCTGACCATAAAGAATCTGTGACAAAGTGAGGAAGGCAGTCCGCAGGCCAATTGAGAGACTAGATTTGACAGGTAGTTTGGATCAGTTCAATTTCTACAACAAACTTCTATGCTTTCCACTTGAAAGAAAGTACCTAAAAGCTTGCTGAACCTGTGCACCACAGAATGAGCACTCAGGGGAGCAGAGAGGGGCAAAATGTCACTGACACCCATCAGCTGACATAGTCTGTCTGAACATAATCATCTATCTTCAAGTCCTTGAGGCAAGGACAGTATTACTTACATGTGCTGTCAGCATGTAACGATCCCTAACGGGGTCTCCGGAGAAGTGCCAAAAAACTAATAAAAAATAGAAAACAGTAGTACGTTATTTAGCGCACAAAATTTTAAGTTGTCAAAATAGCAGACACACTTGTTCTAGCTTCTGCAATTATGTATCCACTGACGTCTTCATCACTGTCTAAATGTTTTTGATTATACAGACCAATGTTTTAAGAATAACAATTCTGACTCTCCAAGAGTAATTCATAGGAGGGGGTTAAAAAAACCCTTCTTTTTCTCAGAATCTCTAGGGATGGGACAAAGATGTCAGTTTTTTGTTTCCTGGTTTTTTTATTTTTAAATGACCAGGTCAGTCTAATAATAGGCAGCTAGGGTTGAGGTCATCATGAAGACATCACACAAGATCTTAGTAAAACTTTTGGTCTCCCTCTGTTGCTTCCTCTTAAATCTCCCCTTTGGTGAGTATGTATGTTCGAAGACCTCCATTACATGTTTTGGAACATATAAAAATGGTAAGACAGACTTTGTTTCAAAGACCATCTTATACCTTAGCCACACAGATGTGTTGTTCCATTATGGGTGCAGAATTAGGCTGGTTTGTATTATGTGCCTATCTAACCTTTTAATAAGGTGCTTAAAGAAGATAGAAAAAGTAAGTCATAAACAAAAGGTCAAACTAAACAATGCACAAAGAGCCAAGTGCAAAGGTTCTGTCATTCTCTGGCAAGGTGGCACTCAGAGTCTAGTACCTGGCTAGGGACTGGAGCACGGAGGGAAGAAGGAAATGGAAATCAGTCAAGGATCCCATCTCCCAATCCTGAGATTTACCTATTTAGAATGAGACAAGTCTATAGAAAATAAGAAAAGAGTTGCCACCGTGAGTTACATTTTAGGTATGAGTGGAAGATCAATGGGAAAAGAAACTTCCGGTTCCAGTTTTAAAATAAGGGCCTACTAATGAGATGCCATCTGATTAACTCCATGGTCATATGGTAAAATGGCTGAATCAAGACAGACTGATTTTAAAAAATTAGTAGAACGTGAAACTGAAGAGGGTCTTGGCTTAACAACAAGGCTGTTTAAAAGTGTGATTGCTTAATCCTACCAACCCCCAACAAATGAAAGCTCACTTGGGAGCAGTGAGCAAGTCTAGTTTGTTAAAGAGATGGGTCATGGTAAGAACCAAAAGTGTTCTAAGTTACTTGTCCCATGGAAAATAGATTCCCTCAAATTAGAACAACTGATTAAAACAGACTTCTGCTGGAATAGTGGGGCAGCTAAATTTCTCCATAACAAAATCTTTTAACTTTTTTTAGAAAATAGATACTTAAAATTTAAGTATGTATATTAGAAAATTACAACCACAGTCTATTCTCTGAGAATAAAAGGATCCTTAATTCTACTGCTCGTTAGTAACAGAGAACAAAATATAAAGAAAGAAGTCTCAGAATGATAAAGCTCAATAGATCAAGTAATTCTAATTCTGTCCATCTTTTTTCAGATAGAGAGTAAATGGCTACTATAGGTCACCTAGGAAATCAACCTAAAAGCAAAGATACAAACCTAGGTTCCTGATACTCGGAGCAAGACTTTCCTTCTATGCCACAACTCCTGCATGTTCAACTGAGATTAAAAAAAATTCCATTGCAGATGAGAAAACACGATTTTCAGGACCACTCACCAAGTGACAAAATTTACACAGTATCATTCTCACTGATACGTAGATTCATCATGTTGAGGAGGACCCAATGCATCAACTGAGCTAGTCCTTCTTTCCAAGTGGGTGAACCCCACAATGCCTGGAGCATCTCTAGGGTTGGGGTGTCCACAGCTTCTACTTAACATTCTGTGTTGAGTAAGTAACTGATACTTTTTGTTTGATACTTTCTGCGTGTGCGACTAGCTAAAATCTCACAACATAATTCAAGTTACTATTTGTTGCTTTAAATCCTGAAGTTGATGAAGAACAGGTGACTTCAATGTAAGCTGTCACATGCTTAAAGACAAATATAAGCCTTCCATTTTTTCATTTCCACATTGAGTAATCCAAGTGCTTTATCCCAAAGCCTTATTTTTAATTTCTTTAACAATTTGGATTTCTTTAGACAGCTGCAGTTTCTCCAGTTCATTTTCCAGTTGGATAATTTCTTTAATTTACTAATATCACTCTGAGCACTTGCCTATTATCCAAAAGGGTTGCTAATAAAAATAATAATGCTAATAGTTAATAGTTGTGGTGAGATGATTACATGCCAGGCACCAAACTAAGCACTTTCCCTAACTGGTAGGATTATTGGGATATTTGCTGCTGAAAGAGATTCAAAAGAATGAGTTATCTGTTTCCCTCCACTATTCTAAGAAGATAGTCATACAATCCTATTTTGAGCTTGACTTCCTTCCCTCCGTGGGTTATCACTGCCTTTGGAGCTTCAAGGCTGAAAACAAGGCCCACAAGGCAATTCCTCAGCCAGGCTCTGGCTTGGGAATCTGGTGGATTGAGAGCATCTAGTGGAAAATGTGGAGATGGGAGTTGCTTGGAGAGGGGCTCATCCCCCAGAAAGTCTGCAAATGTTAGCTAGATATGAGCAGAGAAAGGCAAACCAGGCCAAATGGCAGGAATTGGGCAAGAAAGGAGGGGCACAGGCCAAATGCAGGAAACCATACATCATATAAACAACGGGGGTCCTTGGGCAGACAGAGAAAAGCAGGAACCTCCAGACTAATAAGAGGTCATACATTTTGGGGATGTAAGTGGCCTGGAGATCAACAAAGAAAGGTGAAAAAGGCAGGAATCTCCAGTGTCCAAATGTAACCTTTTGCTCATTATGCCCTCATTTCCATAAAATTAGCCTTGCAGATTGGAAGTACTCCTTATGCACTGACGCCATGACACTTCCGATCCAGACTAAATAAGGACAAAAATCCTTCCTCCCTTTGCGAAGGTGGAGCTGGGATGAAAATCAGGGAATACGACCCCAAACCCTCCCATCCTCAATGAATATTCTGCCCATTCATTTTTACACCCTATGTAACCAACCTGCCAAAGAAACTCAGGGCAGCTGCTCACCTGAGCCTGTCAGCTCTCCCTTTGAGAGTGTACTATCCCTTAATAAATCCTCACTGTACTTTCTTGACCTCCTAGTCTCATCTCTGAATTATTTCTGCAACAAGACAAGAACCTAATCACCAGCAACACAGACACACAATGGAGCACATCTATGGGGCATGTGTGGAAGGAGAAGGGCGCTGAGATCTGGTGCCTTGAAGCAAAGGTGAGGATCTTGAGCCTAGGGTCAGCAGGGGAAGACCTCTAAGGGGAGCATCTCTGAGCTGGCTGGAGCATCCGCACCCAAAAGCATAGGAGTGTTGGCCAGGCAGAAGCACTAGGATGGAGGAATAGCTACCACTAGAGAATACAGACAGGCCACTTCCATACTTTCCAGGTACTAGCTGAATCCCCTAGGATTTTGTATCAATCCCAGGAAGAGGAGCTCCTGCAAACATAACATATTGAATTCTTGATAGTCTTTTAAATCTCAATGCCAGATTTAGTTTAAGGACAAAAAAACTGATGCTGGGTGGCAGAGGAGGTTCATGCCCATTACACAGACCTTCTCTAATTTCATACTCACAAGGACCAATTCATGCTCCAGCGGCAGCAGCTTTCCATCTCATGAGACGAGGATTAGGGAGGTCAAGTAACTTGCCCAAGCTCAGACACATGCTGCAAAGAATCCCAGCTCTGCCTGATTCCAGAACCCATGATCCATTAGAGTACAGATGACTTCTGCTACTCTGTAATTTAAAAAAAAAAATTTCACTTTGCCAATAATTATAAATTAACTCTATCATCCAAATATGGAGAAAGAAATTGAAGTCAATTTAATTTTACATACTCTTAGATACAAATTTGTGCCATGTCAGGTTTTTTTTTTAAATCACATAAAAATTCTAGAATAGAAATTAACATGGACTAAAATTTTAAGTTAAAAAAATTAATTTTCAGTCTGGTGCCGTTCATTAAGTGTCCAAGTAAAGAAGGTGGTACCTCAGTTTAGTATTCACCAAGCAACTATGACATGTCAGAATTGTACTAGGCAGTCCTAATCTTTAGAATAAGATTCAAATTTTCTAGGCTTCACAAAGTCATCTCCTAGCATTATCTTCTATCCCTTGCCTGTACACATCGTCTTCTCCAGACATGCTGAACTGCCTGCATGTGACACACTGGCAACTCCATTAGAGCACATACACTCCACAAGCTAAAATCTGTTTGCATGACTGTATGACCTTGTAGCCTCCTTTAAATGAAAAGACAAACTGTATTTTAATTTCTATATCCTAGCTCAGTGCCTGGCACATAATATTCAAAAACTATTCATAGAATGAAGAAAAACTGAATAAAACTGCAATTTTGTAAGTAGTTGGTCTGTTTCTCATATTTGCTAGACTAACTTCTTACCCTAACATCTTCGCCCAAACAGTAGAATTCACATTACAAGAATCTTCAGCACCACTAATCTGACCCAGTAAATTCTGGCTGAGAGCAAGGGTATAAATAGAAAGGAAAGTGACCAGCTCAAAGTTTGCATTTCCAGGCAAAAACAAGTAAATGGATTTGCAACTGGGTATTTATCTCAAGGGAGACAAACTGGTCAAGCCTTTGGCAACAAGTCTATTTTACCTTAAAGCATATCTCTTAATATGAAGGTAAGGAAAACCAGAAATTCCCATATATAAATAATTGACCAAAATTTGCAAGAGAATTTGACAAAGATAACTCCAAACTCCTGAACACCTGTCAAGGAGATTATTAAATATCTACAGAAAGTCAATGATTAAATTTAGCACAAAGAGTTTGATTTAGCTTTAAAAGACAAAAAAGAAAACAAGCCACTAATTTAAATTTCAGATCACTGTTGAATACACAGAATTGAATGACATTATAAAAAGGAAGGAACAAGCAAAACACTTAGCCCTGAGATTGTTAACTATTTTGTAGACACAGAAGGCTTAAAAGTGTTGAAAGGATAGACAGCATGGATAGCCAAGCACTACACTTAAACACACATATGAGAAGACAGATACAGAGGGAGAGCCAATTAGGGAAGTAAAATGGCCTAAGATTAAACAGCCAGCCAAATATGTGAGGCTTGTCCAGGCTGACTGTCATCTTTTGGTTACTTGAGGAGGTAAGAGTTTGTCACAGGGATAAATGGTAACAACTGACCTCATGATTCAGGACACAAGATGAAGCTACCATAGTCTGAGACCAGCTTGAATGATCCAACAGCAGAGCCAGCTAAGCTATCACTCAGTGTCTCTATCATTGACAGTTTTGGGCATCTTCTTCTAGTCTCTTCTCCCTTCTCGACTCTCACTAACTTCCTTTTACTTCAGGGGTTTGCTTTACTTCACGGCTCGTTGGGGTCTCTGCTTTTCTAGCAATTCTCCCGGCTTACGCTGTGTCCTGACTCAAACTTGCAGTAACAGAGATTTTGACTGGGTCACCAAGTCACTGCCAAGGACGAAATACCTCCATCAGGGCAAAGTTTTTGTGCCAGCTGGTCTCCTGGGTTCCTTGAGGCTCATAAAATAGCTGGCTGCTTTAGGGCCAGGCACCGATCACTGAACCATTCAGCTGTGGCTGAGACAGAAAAGTGATATAGTCCAATGAAGCATGATGAATATAAAGAAGCAAATTCCTGCTTTGCTCAGAAGAGGGCTGAGAGTGTGGCAAGCTCTCAGAGTGTCATCTAGTATAGAGTGGTTCCATTCACCTATAAACATTAAACAGTGCTCTCATACTCTAGATGCAAGCACCTCGCATTGAAATCTAAATGGTTTATAACAAAAAATTGGAAAAGGAAAAGGCTGAAGATGACAGCAGGGGGAAAACTGAGGAGGTATCCTGTAGGAGGGCAAGGACAGAACCCTGAGCACTGATGGAGAGCTGCCCTCACAGAGCAACATCTCTTCCACAGAACTGAAGAAGGGAGGAGGAGAATTCATGCATGATATTTATCTTTTCCATTAAGTTAGAAGGAAAAAATGCTAATAGTTATAGTATGAGAGGGATTAGGAGCTTTCAAGATGATAAATGAGGTTTGGAAGAGCCACAGTAGGGAACATATAAGTGTACAAATGATTGATTAAAGAAAAAAACATTGCCAAATAAAGAACTCAGAGGTTCCAGTAATATCTTGATGAGCATCATCTGTAGAAAGTCAAGTCAGATGTTCTTCAGCAACTCAAAGCATGAACAGGGAGCAGACAACTTAAAGTTGAGGGTTGAGACCCGGCAGAAGATAAAAGATAAAATGGGTATTACTAGTGAGCGATAGAGATTTAATAATGAAAAGATATGAATGAAATATGCACCTGAGAATTTAGCAAAATTATTCATAATTGAATACAATATGAAGGCAAACAAAAGAATGAGAAAACTTCCCTTCCACATTTTATCACGCTTGCTTATGAAGAAAAGGAATTAAACGTCAACTCCTTGTAAAAGAATTCTTTACATATGATAATTTATTTGAAGCATGATTCTTAGTTATGTCTCTTACTTGGCAGAGATGCATATGATATCTTATGTAATATAAATGCTTTAGCTTAGAAACTGTTAATTGTCCTAGGCCATTACTCATTTGAAGAGGAAGGAGAGCCAATCTTTCTGTACAACAAATACATGTCAGTCCCTGAGCTAGGTGCTTTTCATATGCTATCTCATTAATCCTCCTAACAGCCCTGTAAAGTAGGTATAAATGTCAGTAATTTACAGCTGAGAGAACCAAACTCACAGAAATTAAGTAATTTGCCTATGAACATAAACAAGTCCAGCTCCAAAGTATGTGTTCTTTCCAAAAGGCCACACTGCAGACAGCTGAATAGGGAGCTGTCAAATGAATTCTGACTTTTTCCTATTGCCAAAAGCTTGTTAGTTCATATATGACCTCACTATAAATATGAACAGATTTATCAATATCTTTGTTCTGTCCAGAATATTTTCCCATTATTAAGTATTTTGATCAGTCAAGAGGTACAGAGGTGCTATTACAGAATATACCTTCAAGGGGAATAAAGGAGAATGTGTGTTCTAATTGTGGAACCTAGGGCAAGCTTCTTAACTTCTTTTGTGGCCTTAGTTTTTTTATCTAGCAAAATGAGGACTCTGGACTAGGTGGTGTCTTTGGTTCTATTTGATTCATTCATTCATTTATTCATTCATTCAGTAGATCAGGCACTATTTTATGTGCTAGGAATATGGTGGTAAATGCAGTTAACATCTCATAGAATTGACATTCTATAAAATTCCTTATCTTAAGACAGTAATTCTCAAGGTGATGAGGAGTGACAGATGAGACAGACTTTCCAAATCACCTAGGGAATACTTTTTTGACTATACCTGTACCACCTTCCTAGACCCACAGTCTACTCCTCAAGAAGTAAGCACCATGGGGAACCAACAAAATTGATAAGCATTTATGGTATCTTTCATATAGGCTTGGCAGAAAAAAAGGTTGAGAATTTTTGTTCTAAGTGATATAGCAAGTCATACTGCTCTACTTCTAAGTCTGAAGGGAAACTCATTAAAAGAGCCAATTCTAAGCTTAAAGTAAGTTTGAAAGTGTGCTTGAATTTATAGTTTCTGATTAAGTTCTATGAACATTTGTACCAATCAGATAACAGAAATACTAGAATGCTTACCGATCTTATTGATGGCCATACTCTCCCGTGCTGAGTTCACGTGCAAAGTCATTTGATTGAAAACACCACTATTCTTCTGACAATGAATTTTAATATCCCAGGCTACAGCCAGTTTTCTGTGTTTAAATACAAACAAACAAGCAAACAAACATTAATGATGTCATAGCATTTTGGTGATGAAAGGCCTGTGCATGTATTCTTCCTTCATGTTCTGAGAATCATAACAAAATCTGAAGTGCTGGCCAAGTTTTAAAAAATTTATCCCCACTCCCCTCAAATCTAGCACTTATAGCTAAAGTTTATGCTACAGTAAATACAAAATTACTATAGAAATGTGTAAGACTTGAAAAATAATTTAAAAACCACTTCCAATTTAACACTGTCATAGAATGTTTTATTTTAAACTTGCTGCTCAAACTTTCAAATATGACACATGTGGCAAAGAAACAAAAGTTAACACACAACATCTGCCACAATTCTTTCAACTGCCTTTTCTATATTATGTGATATGTTACAATTTCCTTTAAATTTCTTACATTCATGGTATTCTTAAAGGCAGCAATGTCAATTTTTCTGCTTTGGAAACAGTTTCATTAATGTTCTGAAATTATTTAAAATGACACCTTTTTCCTTTTAGTATTCTAATGCTGCCCACATTAGTGACATAATTCCACATATTATTACTATGTTGCTGAGAGGTACACTGTACTCAATAAATCAACTCCCAACTCTAAGTAAAATAAACTTCAATCAAAAACAAGCATTTTCCTAAATCAGTTTACTCACCTACTTTTCTCAAAAATATTTCCATTCTGAAATAGGTTTTTTTTTGAGATACAATAGTTTCCTTTTTTTATTCCTAACAGAACTGATGCTGTACTTTTTTTCTCAAAATATATTTGATATATTCTGTGCAAAATGTTAAGTTCTGTATAGGTATGTACCTTATTTTGAAAAAGTTTATAAAATATAATTCCTAAAAACAACTTCAACATTAGACAATAGAGGAAGAAAAAACATATCAGACAAAGCCTAATTTTTCACAGGAGAAAATAAGTGTGTTCTTAAAGCTCCAGTAATACATTCCTCGAAAAACTCAGAATGCACTTTGGTCATTATTAAACATATTAGAACATAGGCAAATAAAACAAAATGCTTCTGTTGTTTTCTACAGAAAGAAAATATACTACACAAGGAGGCTGAACTGAGGCTGATCAAAAGGAATGGTGAGAGCAAAGTGATACTATAACGTGGCTCTGTTCTCCACACATTCCTGATCTTAAGATTATGATTGGAGATTAAAACTGCACCAATCAAATAAATTATTTACAATTAATAATTTTAAATACCCTAAAACATGGTAAAAAAAAAAAAAGTGAGGATATTCAACATGATACACCTTGCACCAAGATAATTCTAGATTGTTTCAAATAAATTTTGTTTTAGAAACTAGACACCAGTTAAAAAAAAAAGTTTGCAAAAACATTTCATGTTTCATTTAACTCCTAAAATTTTTTGATTGTACAAATATAATAACTTAAAATCATGGCCCAATGTAAGATACCATCATATTTGCCCTATTTACCTAACATGCCAACATGGTAAGTTTTCATTTGGACACTTGGCAAATTATTCACGGGGGAAGGGTTAACTTTCTAGGGTAAAAGCATCTAAAATAGCCCTTTTACAATTGGAGGTTGAGGGAAGAGGTGTACCAGATTAAGTTTAGAGGATAGAATTTGCAAGCTATAGCTGTCTTTCCTGAAAATTTGGATACAGGTTTATAACTAGTAATCAGAAGAATATATTATTCATTTTTAACCTTATTCTTAAGTTGTTCATTTGAATGTGGTATGAACAGCATACACTATAGTGTACCATGGGAAGAAAATTATTTTGCTTAAGTAAACATAATGTACTTTAGTAATATCAATAGGCACTTCACTTGTGAGATGAGTATATACCTCACTCAAAAGGATACCATATCATGCCCTAGTACACTATAACATATCCCATATATAAAGATACGCATTAAAGTAACAATTTAAAAAGTGCACATTTTGAGCATGCACAGTTGGAGCTGTGCAAACAGCCCAGTGTTTCAAATAAATACAATTATTACTACTTAATTTTTATCAAAATATCTTACAGTATGGTAACCATTTACAATTATTGCTCTATTAAGAGTTTTATCATCAAAGAGCACTTGTTGACCTGTTGTGTAATATCATATATATTAATACTGAAGGGTGCTTAAACTGCAGCTTAATCAGTATAGATTCTGGTATTGTTCCAAAATAATTCAAGAGAAACCTTGACTGGATCTTGATTTACTGAAGAAAATATTTCATGTGTTCAGCTGAGTCCAAAGCAATATTCCCAAATTAAAGAAATTTTCAAGTAAGGCAAGTCACGGCACTGATGGAGAAACAGTGTTTAGCAATGGCTTCTAATCTCACAATTTGTTATTCTGTCAATTATTTATGAGCAATTACCAGGATCTCAAGTATCTGGATATCAGTTTTATCACCCTTTCAACAACTAAGTACATCAATGATAAAAATAAAATATAAAGACTAAAATAAATGTAAAAAACAGTGAACAAGTGAAATAAATATAAGAATTGCACAAGACAGTCTGATGTAAACACTTCAATTTCCCAGCTGAGACTCCTGAAGCAAAGAGTCAGTGACTGCTTTCAGGCAGCTTAGTTGGTACTCTTATTCTGGAAAAGAGGCTACATCTTCTTTTCTCTGAATTGTCATGATTTAATCTTCCACAGCTAGTGAAAAAATAATAGAAGTAGTGACCATTAGAGTCAGTTTTGATATTGCAACTTATTAAATTACATTATATAATGCTGTTTTTATCTAAATTTCATTCAGAAACAAGTATTGGTTCTACTATTTTAAATTCCTTTGTCCTTTAATTTTCAAGAAAAATTTATCTTAAACAAATGAAAAAGTGAAAATCAGATTTCTCTTGCTTTCTTTTACTGGGAAGTGGCAATACACATATGTTACTTCTTAATATGAATATTCTACACCTTATTCACTAACAGCATTGCACATGTTGGAAGATGTATGTATTGCTATATACATAAATAATATAACTTCGATCAAAACCAGAAATAGGGCTCTTTTTTATCACCTAAATTAGATTCAGATTATGAGTAAAAATAAATTCCTCACTTATCCTACACAGGAATTCTACTTGTAATGAATATTGTTCCAAATTAGAAGTTCCATAAGTATTATAAACCAAGAATATTTATCCTTTTTTGAAATTAAATGTGAAATTATTTTCAGTAACTGTATACAATATAATCAAAATGACTCCATTACTGTGCATGTGAAATCTCAAAAGAGTGCCCAGGGTGAAATAAATGTTACAAAAATGTAATAGTGCACTAAATAATAAAAAATACCTACAAGCTCTTACCTTTAAATTAAATCCAAGCAAGTCACTGATAACACCAGAAACAGCTGACAGGATGACAACCTGGGTGATGTTATAAAGCAGTGGATTCATTGTAAGCCCATACAATCTAAAGGGACTGTCCAATTCCTAGCAGAAGATAAAAAAACCATGAGCCCAGATTCACTAAGAACTATCAGTTAAACTAATTCAGGGCAACATGCAAAGAGGATTTTTTAAAACTGTTTCAAAAAACAGTTACAAATCATGACAGTTTTAAAAAGAATAAACTTGGTTAAACTTGAAATAAGCAAATAACACTTTAAGGTTTTTTAGTAGAAAGTGACTTCCTTTAAAAGAACTCTGTAACCTAAATTTGTTAACTCCAGTTTCTATTCCAAATGAATGACAAGGACTGGTCTAGCAGCTACAAGGTTAGAGAACATTTTTTAGTATAAGAATAGAAAGCGAAAGAGGACGATATTTTTTGCAGAATTAGAAATTTAACTAGCTGAATTTTCTGCCAATATTAATACACATATAAAAATGCCCCTTTGAGACAATTTTCAAATACAAAGATTCATTAATTAATTGATTGAAACATTTAAAGTTCTATAATATGCCAGGCTCTGTGTTAGGCTCTAGGAAATGAAGTTTCAGTCCCTGTGCTGAAGGACCTTGCTATCTAATAGACATGCCAACAAACAATTCAACCATAAAAGTCTCACAAAAAAGATATGTATAAAAGGCAGTGGGCCATTCAGGAAGGTGCTCCTGAAACTAAGTGGGTGGAGGAGAGTAGGTATCCCCTAAGACACACGAGAATTTGGCACCTTTGAATTGCTACAGGTTGCTCAGCACTGTTAGAGCCCAAGTGCAAAGGAAGAAGTACTCTGAATTTGTAAAACTGGCTACTTAGATAAGGGCCATTCTTTAGACAGATTTTGTCAACAGGCTAGCACTAAAGGAATTTAATTGGGGGTACAGTATATCATATGTACATATGAAAAAGATTTAAAAGCAACAAGACCAGAAGGAAGAATGCCTTAAGACTTCAGTGTATCAAAAGCTCAAGTAAGAGAAGATGGGGTGCCTTAGAGCAAAATCGATAGGAAAGAGGGAATGAACTGAAAGATATTTGAGGGTCTGAGTCAATGGGCCTGAGAATCTCTTGGCTATGAAGAGTAAGAGAGAAGGAGCAATCTGCATTAAGTCTCAGGTTTCGACTAAAAGACTATGTATAATCAAAAAGGATCACACTAGTGTGCTTTGTATTTTAATTATTTTTGTTTCTCTCTATTTTGCAATTGAAGCTGCTCACAACTCTCATCTTTCTAGCCTTCTCCTGTGTAGCACAGTGCCTATACTCTGAAGATTCTCAATATTTATGTATCAAAAACCTCACCTAGGTAGGTTTCTGAATCCTTTCAATGCCTACCTAATATGCTATGAGGTGCAGTCTATATACATTTAGTTCAATACATTTCAGTCAATACATTTTAGTTCACTGAAGAATTAACCATAACATTGAGACACAACTAATTTCGTACTATTGTATGAACACTTTTAAATAATTCTCAGAAATACGTTCAGTTGGGTATAGAAACTGAGATTAAAAATTTTTTTTTTCCTTTTAAAGCATTACTAACACTGCAAAGCAGATAAAAATATTTTATTAAATTACCTCCAAAGAGTTATTATTATGAGATCAGATATACTGAAATTATATTCTTTTTGTTACCAACAATGCTTTGAAAATTTAAATATTTATTGGTGATATGTATTTATTATAATGATTATATATTACTACTTCTTAAGCTTCAGATCAAGCAGAAGACTACTCTGAGAAATGAAAAAAATTTTCCAAAATAACACCAAATCTTTTTTGAAATCTACTTTAAGTTCTAGGACACAAAAATTTCCAAAGATGCCAACCTCTACAATACTCTAAACATTTATGAAAAGTCTTAAATTTTCAAAAGTGATTAAAATTTCAAAATGAAACAATTTGGCTTACTTTGATTAGTTTTTCAATGAGAAATAAAATGTGAATTACACAACTGTGCTCAAATATAATTTGGAAACAAACTTGGTTAATCATGAAAACCAAATACAAAGTAGGATCTACAAACAAAAAACTAAGACATAACATCAGAACAGCATATTCTACATTATGCCCACTTTCAATTCCATTTTTACCTTCAGCAGTTTAGTAGCCAGTTTTAAAACATTATTCACTAGTGTCAGTTCCTCTTTTTTGTTAGGTTTCTTCTCCATTTTCAAGTAGAGGTTTATCTTTTATTAAAAAAAAGTAAACAAATATACTTTATATTATAACAATTTTTAAAAGGAATTGAAAGATATTCACTAAAATATTAATGGTAGTTCTCTGGTTATTACTGGTGATTTTAATATTCTTCATATTTGTATATTTCAAATTTCTTATAATAAACTTATTTTATAAAAAGAAAACAACTGTTTTTAAAATTTTTCAAAAGTAATTAAAAGCTGAAAGAAGAAAGGAACACTGATGTCATTCTGTAAAAGCTGAAACACTTTAGTTCCAGAGTCAAACCAATCCAGACGATAAATAATAACTGTAGTAAGGTGAATCAACTGGTTTGTGTGCTGCTCTCCCCTTTCCCTTTGAGTTGGTTTGAGAGGGTTACAATTTTTAAAAATCCAACTATTCCTGACAAAAACACTCAGCAAGTTTACTGGCAATAAGTTTGTTCGAATGATTCCTATGAAATGGTAAGGAAAATATTTAAACAAAATCATACAAAATAAAGTTAACCATCAAAATTATGCTTTATCCTTTCTACTGAATAAAAATTTATGCTTTTTCAAATATGGCTCTGCCACATTGCAAGGCAAACATAGCTCATTAATGGTTTAAAAATCCATCATTTCTACAAATGGTACTTCCTTCTTGTCAAATGAAAATGGCACATAAAAACAGTAGATAAGATTTGAAATCTGTCTCAAGGCAGAAACACTGAAGAAAGGCTTCTGCCCTATCAAATTTCAAGTTTTGCTCTATAACACAAATGGTCTTAGTAACACAAGTTCCTGAAAAACTTGAAATAAATGAAAACATTTTAGTTTAATGTATAGATTATAGGCATCAATTTATAACATAATAAACATGCATTCTCACCTGTTCAGTAAGTAATATTGAGGTATTGCTATATTTTTTACTTGTTTCTGATCCAAGGGTAACAAATCTTAGGAGAAAAAGTGTTAACGAGATGCACCAGATTACCAGTTCCCAATTGTAGTGACAATCAAGGAAGATCTCATGTACATGAAGCAACTAAAGTATATGAAAAAGGCAATATGAAGAAGTGATGTGATTCAAACAATCTCTTTTTAAAAGAAAATAACACTTCATACAAATTGACCATGGATATAGAATTACATTTTTTAAATATCCACACTTATTAGAAAATATTTCAAGCACATTAAAAAGTACAGAGTATAATGTAATCAAACCCATGGGGCCTCTACCCACTTTTGTCAAATCTTAATATTTTGCAATATTCTTACAGATTTTTGAAGAATAAAAAAGATTTCATTGAATCCCTCTTAAACTTTTCCTTAATCACTCTTCCCCTTCTTCCCCACCCCCTCTGTAAGAGTAACAAATTTTGCATTTACAGTTTAGCTATATATGTTAAAACTATGTTATTTTATATATATTTTAGAATTTGTATAAATGCTATCACATTGCCCATATCATTCTTCAATTTTTATTTCAATGGACTTTGTTTTCAAAGTTAATCCACTTATCCATGATACACTAAGCTCAAATTCATTCATTCTAAATCCTATAAGGTATTACAGTAAAAGAATATACCAGTTAACATTTATTAATACTCTACCAATTAATACTTCTTTAGTTGCCAATTTTCCTTATTACAAACAATGCTGCAATAAGTATTCTCTTAGGCATCTCCTTATGCACACATGTAAGACTTTCTCAAGGAGTTAAAATTTAGTAGTAAAACTGCTGAGTCCTTGGATATTCATATATTCAATTTTAGGAGATACTACAAATTTATCCCTGAAACAATCTATGCTCTCAGTAGTGTAACAGAGTTCACTCTGCCCTCATTTCAGTGCACACTTGGTATTATCCAACTTCCTAACACCTGCGAATATGATGGATGTAAATTGCTTTCTTATTGTTTTAATTTCACTTTTCCTGATTACTTATGGAGGATGAATATGCTTCATATGCTTGCTGGTCACTGGGTTTCCTCTTTTGTAAATTACCTTTTATATTCTATATTCCCTTTTTTCTATTAGATTGTCTGTTTTTCTAACTGATTTGTAGAAGTTATTTATATATTTTGAATAACAAAATTATTTAAGTCATATATTGACAATATCTCTTCCCAGACTGTTTTGTCATTTATGGTGTCTTTTGTAGTACTTATCATTTTCAGGGAGGGGTAGGGGGAAGAAGATTATATGAGAGACTGAATATATTAGGCAAAATTCTAAAATATTTTCTGTCTGGCCCTTCACAGAGGAAGTTTGCTGATCTCTGGGTATAGGAACAAAATTGATTCTTTTAGGTTGATATTATACACATTTCTGTTGATCTTGATCTTCTAAAAAATATATTTTTAATAATTTGTAAAGTTACTTGGATGCTCTACATAGACAATCATATACTCTATGATTTTATTTTTTCCTTTCCAATCTTTATACAATTTTTTTCCTGTCTTGATTTATTAGTACCCTCCATGAAAATGCTGACTGCAAGATAGAGAGGGAATGTGTCTTATTCTTGGTTTTCAAGTAAATATCCCCAAGATAATAAATATCATATGTACAATGTTTACTCCAATTTTTGAAAGATATACTTTTATCAGATTAAGAACAATACTTTCTAGACATTGTATTACGTATGAACCTCCACTGAAATTTACTAATTTGTTTTCTGTATCTATTGAAATGATTAGAGATTTTTCTCCTCCTTTAAATCAACTAAAAGAGTTCAAAACTAGATTTATGGATTTCCTAACTTGAAAATCTTTTTATCCCAGGGACAGACTATCTTTATCATGGCGTATTTATTGTTATTAGATTGCTGGCTAGGAAAAAAACGTCCTAGTGTTTTACATCTAAGTTAATAAGGGAAATAAGCTCATTGCTTCCTATTTTCATACTCTCTCTCTGGTATTGGTATCAAGGTTATATTAAACACAAAATGAGTTGCAGGAATATTCCCTCTTTTTCTATTGTCTAGATCTTTTCTGTAGGATTAGGATTACTTGTTTATTTGAACATTTGGCAACATTCGTCTGTAAAATCCCATGGGTCTAGAGGATTTTTGTTGGCAGTAGATTTTTAAACTACTGAATCAATACTGCTTTATCATTACAGTTCTTAGCAGGTTTCCAGTTACTTTTTGAGTCAGTTTAAATCAATAAATTATGCAGTTTAAATCAATAAATTATGCATTTCTACAAAACCACCCACTCAAGCTTTCAACTGTAATGACATAAAGCAACTTTTACAAGTATTCTTTAAAAAAATTCTCAACTGTTCCAGTAGTTAAGAGTTTAATACTGTGCTTTTTCTTTTTTAAATGTTATTTACAAGTATGTTTTGAAATTTCCAAGTGTATGTTTTTTTGTTGCTGTCATTTGTTTTTACTTTAATTGCATACAGCCAGTGGTCTGTACGGTTATCAGCTGAGAATCACTTTGTCACCCACTACATAGAAAAGTTTTATAAACTGTCCTTATGCCTGAAAAGAATAAGTACTGTCCAATTATAGAACAAAATTTTAACTATCTTGTTTAGATACATATCTTCATATTTTTTTCTGTTTAATCTATCAATTACTGAAAGAAATGTGTTGAGACCTCCCAATGTGGTATTTTGTCTATCTCTTACTACAGTGATACTGATTTTGGCTGTATATAAATATGTTTGAAGTTATATGATTATATGCATACAAGTTTAGAATTGCTAGATCTTCTTGATGAATTCTTCTTTTAATTTTTGTCAAGTTTCTCTTTATCCTCAATAATGTTTCTTGTACTACAGTCTATTCCATCTGATATTAACGTAAGTTCACCAGCTTTCTTTTGGCTAATATTTACCTACAATACACATTTCTATTCTTTTACATTCAAATATTATGTTCCATGTGTCTTTCGTTGATAATAATAGATAGATTTTATGTTCAGAGGAGACAGAACTACTACAGGATGCACTTCAGGAACATGGAAATTAAACTCCAAATAAAAGACTAATGCAATAAGGAACTGTGAGTAAAGAAATCAGTCTTTTTCATTTTGGTTACTTTTAAGATTTTTCTCTTTGTTTTTGGTGTTCTGCAATTTCTCTACAATGTGTCTAACTGTAGATTTATTTTTATTGCTTCTTCTTATTCTTGTTGTGCTTCCTAAACCTGAAAATTAATGTCTTTCACCAGTTCAGAAAAACTCTTAGCCATTTTCTCTCTACATATTTCTCTCCCTCTTCTTTCCATCTGAAATTTCTATTAGATATATGTTGGATCCCCCATTTGTTTCAATCTCCTTTTCATATTTCCATCTCATCATCTCTGTTCTATATTCCAGTTTATTTCTTCCATCTTCCAGTTTACTAATTATCTTTAGCTGTCTTCAGTCTGCTATTTATTGTTTATTGTGTTTTTAATGTCAGTGATTGTATTTTTCACTTCTATGAAGTGATGTCTGGTTCTTTTGAAATCTGTTCTTTTTTCATATTATTATTTATGCTAAAGGCATTTTAAACAAGCTTATCTTACAGTTTCTATCTCATCAGATTTGAAGTAGCTGGAGATGTACTCCTGCTATGTGTCGATCTGTTGATTCATTTGTGTTGGATTGTTTTTTTCACGTGTTAAACTTGAAAGGGGCTTTATCTGTGGAAATCCTATGAGGCCTAGGGTTGAAGTCACATTCACATCCCCCAGAACAGTCTTGGTTTTGGTTCCTCCAGGTATCCAGGAGTCTAGGATCACTTTTTATATTAACTTCTTGACATAGGGGTTACAGGACAAGATCTGTAAGGTACCTTTGAACTCTGAACCTGTAATAAGGCAGACCTACAGTTACATATTCTTAGGAGAGACCTTCCCTGCCTCCCTGCCAGAATCCAGGCAGAATCAGACACGCTTCCTTATTGTCTTTCTGTGCTGTTGATTTGATTGTTTTTCTTACTTCATCTTTTCACTGAGACTCTAGGCCCTTGAGGATTCTGGCCTTACGGTGTATGTTAAGGAGGTTTGGCAGGTTCAGACCTCATCTTCTGTCCTCACATGGGCATAAAATCTCAAGTCTCTTAGGTACTAAGACTGCCAACGTACCTCATGTCCTTATCCTAGGGCTGCCATAGCATTAACACATATACTTAATTGCTCTGTTTTTCAGTTTTATCTTCATTTTTGACCCCTTACTATCTTTTATAAACTCAGACATACATGTAGTATGTATATTAAAAAGCTCCTATTTGTACTAAAAGGCTGGGGTTTTTTATTTCCCCAGCACTATATGATGTTTTAAAAGCAGAAAATTTTTCAGGTAATCTAGTGTGTCTATTACTTGAAATGGAAATTTACATTTTATAGCACAGGATATATCCCTAGATACTTTTGAGATTCCTGACTGATCTTGGTCAATGAAAATTCTTTTTCAGAGCACAAGACAGTCAAGTCACAGTGACAATTCAGATATAAAAGAACTAATATTAAATGTGAATAAAGCAGAGATTCATGGAAAATAGTCTGAAACAATTTCATAACTCTAGTCATTTATGAGTTGGTTTTGGGAAATAAAGCAGGCGAATTGTAGGCACAAACTAATTATTATATGTTCAATCAATAGACATCTGAGAGTAAGTGAGCCACTGTTTGACAGCAATAAGATGCATGTATTTATTCTACTAAAAAAAAAACTGTAAAAAGTCAATTTCAAAACTTGTGTAACTACGCTTACTTATATTATTTGTTTATTATTAGAAAGCCTTCTGAGGCTGAATATTTATAGATCTGATTATGTAATTTCTACACAGAACAAGTTAACTCACCTGGGCACAACAGATAAATACAACTGAGATAGTCAACAAGAAAGCAGATGAAACTATTACATCAACTGATCGCTGAGGACCTCGACGCTGTGGGGAAAAAAGGAAAACACTTAAATATATTTACTGATTAGCAGCTAATTCCATGCTTTCAATTAAGGTATTAACCCATCACTGCACATTGATTATAACTTATAACACTGAAAATATACCTAATTTGTAAGATGAATTTTAAATTGTTATTTCCTGAGGATATGCAACACTGAAAATGGTGAATATATAGCATAGAATTCTTAGGATAACTTAAAAATACTCCATTTTGTCAAACACTAATCATTTATTCAACATGTTTCTTGAGCACCTTGAGGCACTGCTAGGTGCTGGAAGTATAGCAGAGAACAAAATAAACATGGATGCTGTCTTCACAGGAACTCACAAGGAGACAGACTTCAAGCGCATAGTGATAGACATATATGATAAATTGTCATGAGTGCTACAAAGGAAAGGTATAGAATGTTTTGAGAAAATTGGTAGGGAGTTTGGTGTAAATATCACTTCCTTAGGGAGATTGTCCCAGGACCACACTCCTAACTCCCAGATTGTACCAAGCTAAGGTGCAGGGGCATAATGGTACATGGTAGTGTTGTTGGCAGAATGAACAGTACGTGGGAGAGCATAAAACAGAAGATTATAGTGCATTCAAAGAGCTGAAGCAGGTAGTGGGGCTGGAATGTAGGGAGAAAAGTGTTTCAAAATGAGACAAGAGGGACAGGCTATTTGCAGGAACTGGGTCACAAAAGGCATTATAAGTCCTGTAAAGACTTTGGTTCTTCATTCTAAGAGCAATGGGGAACCTTCAAAAAGTTTTAAGAATTATGATCAAATCTACAGTTTTAAAGATTTCTGGTGGCAAACTGAAGAAAATATTAGGAGGAAACAGGAATACTGGGAGGCCAGTTAAGAGGCAACTGCAGTAGTCCAATACAGAAGGTGACTGGTGGCTGCAATTAGGGTGGTGCAAATGGAAACAAAGAGAAGTAAATGGATTCAAGATATATTCTGGAAGCAGAAAGGGTGGGAATTGGTGACAAACTGGATGTTGGAAATGCAAGACAGGGAAGTCAGTACCCAGGATAATTCCTAGGTCTGGGGTAACATGTTTCCCTCACTGAAGTATAAGCTCCTAAGGGTAGGGACTTTCATCTCATCAATAGTGAATAGCACGTGGTTAACATTAAATAAATGTTTACTGAACAAAATAATCAATGCATAAAAGAATGCAATACCTACTTGAGGTTGATAGTGAGGGGAAATTTTGGGTGGCTCCTCACTAAGCCATGTAACAAAGATCATATCCATCCTTCCAGAGGTGTCACAGTGAGAAAAAATAACCTACTCCAATTTGTAGCATATCCCAATGGAGAGTAAGTTAGTTGAATTTAACAAGTTAAATAAATAAACAAAATGATGACTTTTTAAAGTAAAAGCATTGATAAATAGTGCTAATTGTTTCTACTTCTTTCCTTGTTATTTCAAAATAAAAAGCATTAAAGATTTAAGTATGTCAGAGAATAGTTGGCCTTTAGGTCAACTTTATTAAGACATGATTACTCTACACATAATGAAATTCACTGCTAATGCAACAAAGAAGTAATTCTCAGAAGTATTTTCCTAAAACTAATTCAGATGTTTCCCATTTCCCTGCTGAGTTTTTATATCTTAATTCAATAATTAGGAAAGTTATTTAAAAAGCTTAAAGGAAAAGAATGGCATGAAAAGGATGGCTTAGAATTGCAAGCTAGTATTTCCAAGTAGTAATAGGCCACTTCAGTGAAGCAACTCACTGACATTTTTTAAAAATTCTTTTTTAACGCAGTGGGCTCCCTCTGCTGGCTTGTGATAACCATTCTAGGTAGAAACAAAATCATTCATAATCTAGCTTTTGAATGAGTAGAAGTTGGCGAAATTTATTTAACAAAGATAAATTTAAGACAATCTGATCTTGAATCATCTACCTAAATGCATTTAAGCCTTTTAGACTTCAGGTGTTTTACTGTAAAGAATCAGGTAAAGATTTTGAATTTCTGCATATGGATCAAAAAGAACACCAAGCATGGCCACATAGCACCATATGAGTACAAATGTAAATGTAATATATACATCTAGACATACATACATACTGACAAAGAAACTATGAGAGGAAGCCAGCACATTAAGAGTACTTTTATCAATACCATTCTACCTTAAGATAGGACCGGAGAGAGAGCCACATTTTTATATTCTGTACTTTCTTCAATCGGAAATGGGGAACCTCAGATTTTCGAGCCCTCCTTGCCGATGTTAAATGTCCAAAGAGTTTTGCAAAAAGTAATCGCTAAAAAAGATTAAGATTAAAAATTAATTTCCAAGCAGATTACCACATAAAAACAAACATCAACAAAACATGGATTATTAAAATTTTATTTGGTTAAGTATTATAAAAACAAAACAGGAAAATAATTAGCAGGTCAGAGTGATTTAATGAAATACTAAAATACTTCTGGAATATTTTGAATATAATGAAAGGATAAAATACTCTCTATTTAGAAGTCTACATTATACCCACCTGTTTATAAGTTCTTTCTGCTACACAGAGCAAAAAAAAGAAAATCCACACAAGAGACACACGAACCACAAAACTTATTATAACCATAGAAAGAACTAGGATATCTTCATTAGAACCAAACGCAATCATATAAAGTTCTGAAGCAGAATGTGCTGTGAGTTGTTCCAAGTCTGTAGCTTGGGAGAGTCGGAAAACAAATGGAGTTAAACCCAGGATTAGAGAGATTGCATTTCCAAAAATCTGGTATCCTATTCCCGGTATGTGGCTGTTTACCTTTGTAGAGAGAGGGAAAAAGAAAAAAAAATTATACAAATTTTATCCACAATAAAATGAGTTCCTATTAAGCATTATTTTATTTGTAGCAATATGAAATCCTTTTGTTAAAATACATTAGTTTTAGTTCATGAATGATGAAATCTAAATTTACTCAAAGTTTGAGAGCCTATTTTACATAAAATGTTAAGTGATTATTTTTTCAGTTTTTAAAAATTGTTCATTATCAGACCTCTAATTCACTAAGCAAATGCAAAAGGATTCACTAACTTAGTCTTATCGGGATCTTGAAAAAATACTCTACGTATCTCATTATTTAAAAGCTAAAAATATTCACAAACACCACAGTATTAAAAAGAATGAGGAGATCTCATATCCACTTAAAATCAGCTAAAGAAAAAAATCTAGAATTATATTTATTTGATAAATTTGTCATTTGTGTTTTTCCTCAAAGAGTTCAGTATACAAATGGGTATCTCCTTAAACTCCAACATCATTTTAAAAGAGAGAATATGCTAGAAAGGGACAAATTTAAAAAGAGAGGAAAAAAGGGTGGGGGAATTATTTTTTTAAAAAAAGGAAACGGAAATTAAATAATAGGGAAATATAAGATTGGTAGGATGGAAGGGATCTTAAATATCTAACTAACTTTTTATCATATTATATATACATTATGTAAAAATCTGCTAGTTCACAGATAGTTAAGGTATGGACCATCAATCAGAGCCAAGTCTTTAGAGATTCCTTGTCAGTAGCTTTTCATTGCTCACACTGAAATATGTAACAGGAAGCAGATCAATTTCTAAAACTAGTTATTTTAATTCCTGTCCTATGTAAAGTGTGCACAAACAATTCTAGCCCAACACCACACAGTGCTTTTAGAACTGCAAACTAAATCATGCCTAGTTGTCCAGAGGAATCAGGTAAAACTTTTAAAGAAGTAATGATCTCATAAAAGAAATAATTTAATAGAAATATTGAAATTAAAATCTGTAGTATTTGTACTCTGTTACTTCAAATTACTCAAGATTTTTACCACTAGCTGCATTACTTCTATATATTTAAGTAGGCAAGCATCAACACCAATTTTCTATAATGTTTTGGGTAGTAATAAATAAATGAATGATACAGAAATGATACAGAAAAGTTAAGTTTTCATTTATATATATCTAGCAACACCTTATATACCTAGCAGCTCCTGAATTTGATATACTGAAAGCAAAAGAAAGAATAACATAAAAGTAGAAAAATTTAGATTGTATCACCTACTTTTAATTAGAAGAATGAAAAACACAAAAAGATCAGAGTGGTCTGGTGACAAATCAGTGTTTAAATCACAGATGGAGCCAAACACAAGTAACTTTTTTTTTTCTGGTTGAAGAAATGAGGTGAGTGGGTTATAAATATAACATCCCCAGTAATTGTTTCATATATTAATAATCACTGTCTTATCCTTGAACTAAAAGATTAAAATTTAAAAACCCACCCTGTTCATTATCATTCCACTGATTTCAAGTACAGACATGTCCGCTTTCTTGCAGTCATTACCTTCCCATACGATAGCACTTATTTTTTCTAATCCCGGGTGGGGACTATGGAGCCAGGGCAAATGACTCTATAAAAAATAAATAGAAATTGGTGAATGTATTAATTGCATTTTATAAAACATGTATGTGTGTATATATCTCTATATACACAGACACAATTTTATCTACACTAAAAGGTAGAAATTGATGGATGCATTTATATTTTATAAATAGAACATATGTATATATCTATGCGTAGTCAGATCATGCACAATGTCAATGACACTAAAAATTCTATCTTAAAATTAGCATACACTGAACAAGTAACAAGAAATTAAACGGTTACAAAAACAAGTTAAGAGCTTTCTATTACATATATTAGGCAATCTATTATTGTTCATACTCTAAAATGCATCAGCAAAAGCACTTAGAAGTCTGTCTGCCTACGTAACTAATATACTAGTGTTCAAAGACAAACGGACATCAAATTCATATGTTTATATTACCAATTACCCAATTTATGATCATTCAATACAAAAGAATATGACAGCTGAGATTTGAACCTCTTTGAAAGACTAAACAGTAATGCAGTCTCATTCTGAAAAAAGATACACACCTACCCTTAATATTTGATTTAGTTACTTTTCTGATTTTTAATCTATCCTTTCTCCAAAGGTTCGATTTAACTTTTTTTCCTCTGAAAGCAAATATTGCAAGCTGAAGCACACAGAACTAGAAGTACTTTCACAATAGAATAAGGTATATCTTGAGGTTTCAAGAAATAGAAAATGGTAAAAAGAAAAACTGAAAGCTTTAATACAAATGATCTGATATGTAAGGTCGTTTGGGGTTTTGTTGTTTGTTTTTTTGAGATCTATAATTAAAGGAATATAACTTCAAAACAGGATAGTCGTGGGTTAAATATAGCAGTAAAATTAATAAAACACTAATTTTTATATTAACAGATATTGATAAAAGTAACAGTAAAAGATTAGCCCCAGAGAGGGATAAGTTTGTTTGTTTACATTACAGTATTTCTAACTTATTTTTATAACACACTTCATTAAAGTAACTTCTATGAACAGAAGAATCTACTTCAGAATATTCTTTGGAGGACAAAAATGTGATTAAAATATGGTTAAGAAGTTTCTGTAAACTGGGGAATACAATATTTTCCTCTAGGGGGAGTAAAGCTGCATTGATTCATTTCAATTAAAGGTATAAAATAATAATACAATATATAAGAAAACATATGAGAAGTCATCATTTTGATCTCATACATTAATTTTCTTTATGTAAGACTATATATATATATATATATATTCTCTTTATTATAAACAGAGTAAAACCTGATTAATAATTACATAGGCAAACCATAATGCCAGTAGTCATGGTACTGGCAAAGCCCTTTCACATTTAGTTATTTGACTATGAAGAAGTTTCCCCTAAAAATTTATCTTTTCCAAAGATTTAGTAGTTTAATATACATTAACCTTCATGGTATGTATTTCACTACTGGAGAGCCTTAAGAGCTATGAGATACTAGTTATTAATTATCCACTTACTTCCTTATGATGTTTTATAATTTATTCCCAAACAAAATATTCTAGTATGGGCTAGAAATAATTTGCACCAAAATATGCATCAAACTTTCCCTAGAAATTTAACAATTATGAAACACAATGCAACTAAAAAGTTAGGATCAAGTATGAGCAGCTGAATGGAAAAAGTGTTAAGCCTGAAAGGCAATAGATTTCAACCACTGATACAAAGACTGGTTTTTTTGGTTTTTCTTTTTCTTTTTTAAACTCTCAGTCTATACCAGTGAATTACATGATGCAAGGCACAACACCACCAAGAATGTCCATCTACAGAGAGAAATAGGAAATCAAACAGTTCTCTACTCTCCTTTTAAAAGTACTCATTTTGCCCAGGTAACTTCCCAGTTACTCTAACCAGCATTTGATAGCATTTTCCTATTTCTAGAAAGGCAAAAGGCAACAGAGTAAAGAGCAACTAGAAAATGGAGAATTTGAAGAGTTAGTTAAAAGATACAGGTATCTGCATGTGTGAATGTGTCTGTCAAATGTACTCTGAAAAACCATCTTGTTGAAACATGTATGGCCTATGATGTATGGAGAAGAACATAACATGAAACACTTTTTAAAAGGCTCAGGGAAAACAACAGAGCAAGAAATTCCGTTTTATAATTTTATCACACATGTTCTTCTTAGCTGTTTTTCAAACTAAAATTTGGAACTTTTTCAATGGTTATTCTTTATCTTCATCAAAATCTTAACTGCTTTGCCCCTTGTTCATTCAAAACTGCCTGAAAACCTCAACACTTAAGTAGTGGCATGTTTTATTTCAAATAAATTAACCACGACAATTGCCTTACTGGAGTTTCCACCTGTGGGAACTGTAGCCACTAAAATATGGCTTTACCAACTGAAAATGAATTTCACTTGAATGTTGCTTTATATTTTATTATATACTAAGCCATGACTACAGGAGAAAATTTTTCTCCTTTAGAAATGTTTCGATAACTATTTACAAAGAAAATAAAACAAAAGTATAAATTTGGTGACATCCTGACTACTGCACACTGATTCAAATATTCAGTGTTTCTTTATGAGGGATTTTTTTCAGTCTTCATGGTACACAGAAAAGGGTCCTCCAAATCTAATACAGATATTGCTCAATTAAGAGAAAAGCCAGCAGTTTTTTGTTAAAGGGAGCTAATATCCATTACACAACTATTAGTAAAACTGAAAACATGAGCTTATTTTCAGAAGTCTCAGAACACGAAATGTATGCAAAAAAGTCTTTACATTGGCAAAACCAATGTAAGCTTAGTATACTATAATTAAATACCCAGAGTAGAACATTAAAAAAAACTATCTTATCAAAAAAGGAGCAGGGTGGTGTAACAAGATTTAGGACCAATTTATTATAAAGAGCATTCATCAGAACAATTTTTTAAATCACTTAAAATAGGCCTAATTGGCATATTTTGAAAAAAAATTTTTTTTTCATTCATTCACTCAACTAGTACCTATTATATGCCTACTATGTACCAGGAACTGATACAACAGGGAGCAAATGAATACATAATCCCTGCCTCTGCACCACTTACAGTGTTGCTGGGAAAATAGCTCACAGGCATTTTCCTAAACCTCAATTCTAGTTATTATCCTCACTGGCTTACATGAAGATGCAGATGACTCATCCAACACCCTATTGTCAAACATTGCTCACTGTTGTTTTATTTATTTATTTTTCCCACTTCTTAAATTCAGGGACTTTCAGCTGTTCCCATGGCCATATCTCAGACCCTGTCAACACACAGAACTGCTCTAATTCAGAAATGAGCCTTCAACTACAACCTCTTCCCACGTCTCTCAAAACTTCAATTCAAAAGACACCTTTCCTTGAATATAATTATCCTTCAATCTATCAGTTTCTTCCTGGATTCATTTCCTTCTCAACCTAACATATCTAGATTCTTACTATATCCATTATTTCAATCAGTATTATCAGCCCCAATCCTGTCCTTTGAATAGCAACTATTTAGCACCTGCACTGTGTGACTCTGGGGGCATTATTTAATTCTAAGACTCCATTTTCTCATTTATAAAATAAAAAATAAACTATACTATCACACGTAGTGAGAATTGCTTGAGACACTGCATCTAGATTACTTTGCACAGTGAACTGTATACAATAAATGCTTCTTATATGTTTGCTATTATAATGATTATTATACTATATTCTGAAGAATATCACACAACTGTATAGAATGGGCAACAACAAATTCATGGTTTCAGAACCCAGGTGGACCCTCAACAATATGGCGGTGTGATTCTTTTAATGTGTTAACTGGCTTGAACACATACTCTCTCCCCACCATCTCCATTTCCCACAAATGGCAACTTCAAGCTTTCACCATCACCCACAAGCACCTAATTCTACCATCTCATTTCTTTACTGTTAACAGTTCACAGAATAGGGACCATCAGGCAGTAACTCTTTCAACATCTTACTTGCTTTACATACTCTTCCTCATCTTCCTATCTCAGCAGAGGGTGTGCTCCTCTTCCTGTAGGAGGCAAAGCTTCCTAACTATGCCTCCTCTTCAGAACCCTAAGAAATTCTCACTCAACAACTTTTTCTCCTGTACCTCCTCAATTCTTCCCTACTGTTTTTCTCCTAAGCACGTAAGTGCTCAAATAGCTCTCATCTTCATCTCTGGGGGGATGGGGACCAAAACATTCCTTCATTTTCTCCGAACTATCACAGTCATGTGTTTTTTTGTTGTTTTATTCTATTTTTTTAATTGAAGTATAGTTGGTTTATAATGTTGTGTTAATTTCTGGTGTACAGCATAGTGATTCAGTTATACATATATATATACATATATTCCTTTTCATATTCTTTCTCATTATAGGCATGTTTGAATATAGTTCCCTGTGCTACACAGTAGGACCTTGTTGTTTATCTATTTTATATATAGTAGTTAGCATCTGTAAATCCTGAACTCCCCATTTATCCCTCCACCCGCCTCTTTACCCCTGGTAACCATGAGTTTGTTTTCTGTCTGTGAGTCTGTTTCTGTTTTGTAAATAAGTTCATTTGTGTCATTTTTTTAAGAGTCTACATATTAAGTGGTATCATATGGTATTTTTCTTTCTCTTTCTGGCTTAACGGTCATGCTTTGTAAGCCTCATTCCTCATTCTCACTCCTCAAGTACCTGTGACAAGGCTTCTTTCCCCTGACACTCTTCCTATAGCTGAAGCCAAAATGAATTGATACATTTTTAATTGAAACATTTCAATCAGATAGAAAACAACACTTGGTTTTATAATTTTACTTTATCCCTATTTGTTCCAAATACTTTAATTTTAAAAAATGACAGGCAAAATTGAAACTGACTTTGTGCCCTTCCCTGCTCTCATTCCCTTCTTTTCTTCCCCAGATCTACTCTCTAAATTTGGTGTTTATTAGTCCCTTGCATGTTTTTATACTCTTACTGTATATGCTTTTACTCATTAATATATAACCTTGCATGTTTTAAAACTTTATTATAAATAGTATATTGTATGTATAATCCTGCACCTTGCTTTTTTCATTCAAAGTTATATTCACAAGATTTATTCTTTTTGATATATGTAACTCTGAGTTCATTCAATTTCACTGCTGTGTACTATTTTATCACATGCCATGGTTTCTTAACTCTTCTATTGTTGGCTATTGCATTATTTTCCATTTTGCACTATCACACACAGTGCAATGAACATTTTTACGTATGTATCCTTGTGCCCATCTTCTAAAGTATATCGTTGGGAGTGAGAAGAGTCCTAGAGAATGCAGACATTCAATTTCATTAAAATAACAAAGCACTCTCCAAAGTAGTTGTGCAGATTTATACTAACACCAGCATTAACTAAGAGTTCTTTCTTCATATTCTTGAAAATTATGAAATTTATCAGATTTTTAATTTTTACAATCTGATCAATATGAAATGGTACCTGACTGTTCTAATTTACATTTCCCTGATTACTAATAAGGCTGACCATTTTTACTTATTCTATATTAACTATCTAGGGGAGTAACTTGTTCACATCCTTTGTTCATTTTTCTACTGAGTCATTCGTCTTTTACTTATAAATCTGTAGGAGTTCTGTATGTGTTCCGTATAGTAATATATTGGAAATATCTTCTCCTAGCCTGTGGCTTGTCTTTTAACAATGTTTATGTCTTAATTTGTAGCTAAAAGTTTTACATTTTAAAATATTCAAATTTATCAATCCCTTCATTTTTGATGTTTGCTTGTACTATTGTATCTAGCTTAAAAAACTATTTTCTTACCTAAAGTAAGAAATATTTTTTCTTACATTTTCTTCTAAATATTTTAAAGTTTTACTTCTTCATAGCATTTAGGACCTATCTAGAATAAATTTTTGTGTATGAATAATCATTTTGCCCACAACCATATACTGAACAATCCATCCTTTTTCTACTGATTGGTAATGCCACATATGTCATACACTAGAGATCCATGTAAGCAGGAATATCTTTCTTGGTTTTCTATTCTGTCCCACTGGCCTATTTGTTTACACACTGTCTTAGTCTGTTTGGGCTGCTATAACAAAATACCACAGACTGGATGGCTTACAAAGAACATAAATCTGTTCCTCACAGTCCTGGAGGGTGGGAAGTCTAAGATCAAGCTTCCAGCAGATTTGATGTCTGGTGAGATCACACTTTCCTAGTTCATAGATTGCCCTCTTTTTGCTGTAACCTCACATGATGGAAGAGAAAAAGGAGTTTTCTAGGGCACCTCTTTTATAGGGGCAGTAATCCTACTCATGAGGGCTATACTTTCATGACCTAATCACCTCCCAAAGGCCCCATCTCCAAATACTATCACATTGGGGATTAGGTTTCCACCTACGAATTTTGAGGGGACATAAAATTCAATCTATAGCATACAGCTATACCATACTATCTTAATTACTATATCTTTAAAGTAAATTTTTATACCCAGTAGGGAAAGTCCTCTGTTATTCTTCAAAATTATTTTTGCTGTTCTTGACATTTCAATTCCACATTAAAGAACAAAATCAGTCTAAGTCCAACTAAAACAGACAAACAAACAAACATACATGCTGGTGGGACTGATAGAAAAAGCAGCGATAAAGGGTATCTCTGTCTTGTTCCTGACTTCAGTAGAAATGTTCCTAAAATTTCGCCATTAAATAAACACGTTTTTAGGAGGCTCTTTGACAGGTACTTTTTTTTTTTTATTAGATTAAGGAAGTTTCCTCCTAGCTCTAATTTTCTAAGGTTTTACTTGTTGGTTTTATTATTAGGATTTGATGAGGAGCTGGATAAAAGAGGGAAGGTGAGGAAGAGTGAAGATTTTAAATGAACACAGTGTTTCTGGACTGGTGAGTGAGTGGATGAAGATGTCATTCATCAAGACTGTGAGTGCCATAAGAAAAACAGATTTATGAAGAAAGAGGGGTTTTGGTTAAACGTTAAGAACTGGTGGGACATTGAAATGAAGATGTCCTATGACCTGTGTTATTCAATATGGTACCGTACTCACATGTGGCTACTGAGTGCTTGAAATGTGGCTAGTCCAAATGAGATGCGCTGTAAGTGATCACAATAGATTTTGAAGACTGAGTATTATAAAATGTAAAATACTTCATTCATTTTTTCATGTTAGTTGTATTTTGAAGTGATAATATTTTAAATATATTGGGTTAAACAAAACGTATTTAAACTAATTTTACCTTTTAAAATGTTTTTAATGAGGCTACCCAGAAACTTTTAAATTAACATATGTAACTCTCATTATATTTCTTTTTGATAGCATTACTGTTAGGCACTTGGAGATACAATCTGATATTCATGAGATGTAGATTTGTGAATTATAACCTTACAGGTGGAGTTAAGGCCACAGGTGTAGATGAATCTGATCATGAAGTCTGCGGAGTGAGAAAAGGACTAATGCATCTAAAATACAATTTGACTTACAAAACTCCATTTACCAACAACTTCTCAGGAACTTATGTTTGCAAGGTGAGTGACACATCATAATAAAAATACTGAGATTCTATGTTCCAATGAAGCCAGACCACAGCTCACATAAAAAGAAAAAAAAATCAGGAACACTGTATTAATTGAATGTAAGCTTTTTCTTCACTTCTGTTAAAATTTGTAGACACACTTTAAGGAGCTAGACTGATGGCCCCATATAATCCAATACTGTAAACCAACCTGATGAAAAGGGTCGTCTCTATATTCTTTTTTCACACATGGATTAATCTGAGGACTTTCCACATCTGTCTCACTGGTACAAGATGATCGGCATTCTGCACAATGTAACAAGTCTTCCCATAATACATCTTCTGTTTCAGATTCTGGCCTTGTGCTCTCAGAATCCTGTCTGGAACTTGAACAGCGAGAGCTGCAACTAGTACCCGATTTAGGGGCATCCTGAAATCAAGATATTCTTTGACATTAATACAATTTATGTACTCTTCCAACTCAAAGGATTCTATCAGAAACATATATTCCTACTTTTTATTAAAACAACAAATACACTGTCAAATGACAGTGAAATGAATAGCAAAACGTTAAAACACATATTAGTTTGTAAGTAGTAACAAAACTTCCTCATATCAAAATTTATTTGATTTTACATCTCAGCTCAAGTGTTATTTGCAGGCAAAGGTTATGCCTGTTTTCTCTTAAACTTTACACAAAGTTCAAAATTCAGGCAGGCCAAGACTAGCCTAAGTCCATATGGACTGCATAATGAATATTAACCCACATTAATTGATGTAATTAATGGAGTTCTTTTCTTACTCTAGTCTTTTTTTTTAAGCAAAAACAGATGTCCTGTATCTACTGTTTTTGTTTTTCAAACAGAAGTTCAATAAATTGATATAAAAATAACAAATAGTCTATAACAGGAAGATAACTGCCAACTCATGTTTTTTAGACAATCTATGGTATAAAAGTGAAAAACTAAAAGGCCCAAATTACATGTCTAATCAATTTTTTCCCCCAGGAGTTTTTAATGTACAAAACAAATACTTATGAGTAAAATTTTGATTTAAATTAATTCAAAATGACCTTTCCTAAATAAAGAATGGTAATAGCCATCCTTGTAGTTAAGTATGCCAAAATTTCTGGATTTGTTTTTAGCTATCCTCTGTCACTAAGATTTGTCAAATATACTTTTAAATGTTTTATAGTTATCCCTCTCTCTCTCCCACGTTATCACCAGAGTTCGGACTTTATCATTCACACCTTGTTTGTTACAAGACCTTTCTAACTGACCCGTATCTGAAAGGCCTTTCCTTCTTTCCAGATTAACCTTCCTATAGTGCAGCTATTCTTACATTCCTCTGACCAGAATCCTTCTGTGGCTTCCCACTGCTCCTCTGGATATAGTTCCCACTCCTTCACTCAGCACACTTGTCTTCAAATGTGCTGCTTCAGGCCTTGTTCTCCATTCTCCAAACCACTACCTTCTCCTCCAGTGACACTGGGTTGCTCCCTGGCCCTGAACGTCAATTGTTCTTTGCCAATCTAGCCTCTGATCATGCTCCTTTAAAGCCTACTCAACAAAGTATCAGGAAAATACCATCTCTACCTCTTTCTAGCTGGCTTACTTTGTTTTTGAGCCGAAGTTTAGTCATCTACCAACAGGGAATAAAACTACCTACCTTAAAGAGATACGGAAAATCAAACGAGCACTGTAGCTTTTAATACAAACCCAGTACAAAACAAGGGCTCAACAAATGTTAGCTTAAAGCTACTCTCTACTGAAAGAAATCACTCTGTCCCTAAAGTGAGTTATTACTATTTATATTCATTTGACAATAAATTCTGTATTGTTGTCTAGTATCTACAATATTGTCTGTGCTATTTAAATGTTCATGTATTTCATATTCTCAAATCATAACTCCCAAATACACCATTAAGTCCACGAAAGACGGAAACAAAACATTATTTTTTTGCCATCCTTAGCACAGGTAACAAAATACCTTACATGAATGAGATATACGTTGATAATTTATTAATATTAGAATGTGGCACCATAAATATATATTTAGTGTATTTATAGAGTATTTGTGGGAAGACAGTTGTCTGTGTGAGGGAGAAGTAAAAAATTTTTGAAAGAGTTGAGCAGAAAATGAATAAAGAAATAAAAAGAGAAAAAATACAGAAAGAGAAAAGGGTAAAAATTAGATGGCTTTTTTTTATGAAAAGCAGTACAGAAATATTTCAGATTCACTAATGTCAACCAGAACACCTGAGGCATATGGCTTCCATCACAACGGTTTTCATCACATAGTAAGGCACAGACTGTATTACCAGTAATGATTAATTCAAAATTTTTTATAAAGCTAGTTTATTATCTGTCACTAATTTCTGATGCAGATTGGCTAATTAGATGTAGAAATAAGTAACAGGATTAAAGGCCTGATGACTATTTAAGTGAAACTAATGGGTGATTTAAGGGATAAGGAAATATCTGTAATTCCTTATAAATGTATTCTGCCAAATACTGATTAATAAGTGGGCCATTTTACAAATGTAAAATCTAAAAATTATTATCTATTAATTGCTTACATTTCAAACAGAATTTTTCCTGCAATAATTATGTGGCTAATGGCCACTTCGAATTTCACTGCAAATTGCTGAATAAAGCCTAAAAATAGGAAATTTTACAGTTAAAGGAAACAGCTCAAGTTAATAGATTATTTAATGATCTGCTCTGCTCATTTCAAATTTTTAGACAGAGAGCTAAAACTGAGCATATAATCAAATTAAGAGAAGAAAAAGTATTTGAACTGAAATATTTGAAGGGAATAAGGATTTACATGCTTTGTGCCAGGCAATTACGCATCATCTTATTTAATCCTAACAATATGGTGAAGCCAGTCTCCTCCTCTCCCCATTGCATGGATGCAAAAACTGAGACTCAGATAATCTAAAGAATTTTTCCAAAGTCACTTAAATAATCTGACTATAAGCCCATGGTTTCTTCACCATGCTTCCCATCAAATGCTACATTCAATAGATGAAGAGATAATCTACAATAGGGAATAAAAACTGAAAGATACTTGTAGAGTTAAAGCAAGACAGAGAAAGAAACAGGACAAATGCTTGAATTCCCCTGGACATCACCTATATCCCAGATAACCAAGTAATTCTACCACTATCTTCCGAATAGGAGACTAGAAGTCAATCAGATATAGTAGATCGTAGAAAAAGGCAAGAAACCAGGGTGGGGGTAGAGGTGGCAGACTGAAGGGTGGGAGGGAGGAGAGCTAAGTGAAAGTCCACACACCGAATGGCAACATCACAACCTCACCCCCAACCCTTTTGGTGCCAAACACATGGCAGCGTGGTATAATATCTACCACTCCCATGCCACCAGAAGATTGGATAATTCTTCTGGAAAAACAGAACACCACTAAAAAGTGTATCTATAGATGCTGACATCTGAGAGGCTTGTAACAAATGGCTGGGTCTCTGACCTATCTTATAGTGAGGCCCACCAGTCCTAACCACGCACAAAGTGCTTCCCAAATGATTTCTTTGTGCCTCACTCTAAAAGAAAGCAGTATTGCCAATAATTTGAAGAGTATGATAATAAATACATAAAGATGCAAAACGACATTACAAATCCTCTGTCTTAATCTTACTTATTCAAAGGAGGTTTTGTTTTTGCTATTTTGAAGCAAATAAAAAACAATTTTGAAGTTGGTTTGACTTGAAAGTAAAGAACTTTTGGAAATAAAATAGAATCTTTTAAATATCTTCTAGTCTAAATTTCCTCGCTTCACAGATGAAGAATTTGAAGATCAGATTTTATTTTTATGTAATCTTTTACATTATTAAAAAAAGATTTAAAACAATCAATGCCTACTAGCTAATTATCAGCCTTACTTAGCTTGAAATCTGAAAGATTTTAAGTAACATTTATTTTAAAGTTAAGATTAGTAAATAATGTTCTGCCATTCAAGAATCTCAATATTTCAAACTACAGTTGTAAACCAAGAAGAGCAAAGGTTACCGGATGAGACAGTACCTCTAAAGCCAAATAATTTATTCTATAGGAGAGTGGACACCTCCCTCTGTAGGAGGTCCTGAATCCTTTCCAGGACCAACTGACTTGTAACTGTACATCAAATAAAACTGTGAATTTCACAAGCATGGTTATTAGTTTAGGAACAGGAGACGGTATATCAGATGACACAAGTGAAAAGACAGTAAGCAGACACACAGGCATTAGTGTCTTCCTAATGGCAGCCACTGAAAGAAACATCCATAGTCACTAGAAAGATTGACTAGATACAACCACACAGAAGTGTACAAAAAAATAAGTAACTCTTCTCATCTTAAAACTCTTAATGTATTCACATTCCAGCACAGCATAATATTAGATTTTTCAAAAGTTTAACACTAAATCATTAAAAAAAAATCAAACACAGTACAAAAAGAGTAGAAGGTGACATTTATCAAAAAGTGATGTAAGGAGTAATTCATTTGTCTTAAAGCAAGGTAATATCCTGTCCTTAGAATAAAATCTGAAAATACAACTGAACGAAAGTTTTTTTCTATTTAAATAGTTTCAAGAGATGTGATAACTTCAAGAGATGTGATAAAGTTAGAAAAGGGTTTAGAGAAAAACAAACATTAATAAAGAAAAATAGAATCAAAGAAGATGAAGGGATTGAATTTTATAGTATGGGCAAATTAACTGGTGACAGTAGCATGAAGGAAGTCACTTCGAATAGTAACTTTGCTATAATCCAGAAGTCATAAAGCCTTTCAAATTGTGGAAAAGACTAATACAGGAGTTCACAGACTGTCTCTCCAGGATGTTCATAAAAAGGAAACAACAAAGTGCGTGTATGAGTCTTCAGAGAAAATGCCCAAAATGAGTACAATGTGACTATTTACCACGTATGAAATACATTAATCTAAAACTGCTCCTCTGTAAATCCAGATCATATAACAATAAGATACTGACAGGAAATATTTGTTATTTCAATAATTATGTTCATTTATTGAAAGAAGTTATAAATTAGTAACATATAAAAGAGATATGCATGTATAGATGTAAGGCCAAAGTATATACCTCATTAGGGTAATATTTCTTATAATGGTGTGACTTTCTATTCCGAAGAATACTCTCAGAAGTCCTGTCATGACGGCGTAATGGGTATCCTGTTTCAGGACCTTCTTCACTGGAGACTTCATCAGAGATATTTGTTACTGTCCTTTGGGTATCCTACGTTGAGAGTACACAAGGAGGATTACTGGTAATTTCTGACTGACTCTGTAGCTTTAAAACGGAAGAACTGTAAATTATATATACATATATACATACATACCTTCAAATACATCAGAAAACCCGAAATTATTAGTACTACTTGATTTTCTGAAAAATGTCTTAAATCACTAACTACAGTTGTTATTTTAATTTTAGGAGTAATTCAACAGCCATTTGTCAAATATTGTCCTATAATGTGTCTGTTCATGAAAAAGTTTGAAATAGCTTACAAAATTGAGACAATAAAATAGTATAAAAGCAGAAGAGAGACCATTTAAAAGAAGCTGAGCGGCCTGAAATGCATTATACTATTATCACAACCAAAACTGCCATCAATCATAAGACCAAGTATATTTAATAATGGGTTATGAGGCGGGAGGTGGTTGGTAGGTGAATGAAAGCACATACCAGACAGACAACACCATGCACATATCAATTGGTAAGAGACATCCAGGTTTCAGAAATTCAAAAACCGAGAGGCTCCAGAGCAAGTATTTCATTCATACTTTCACGCTCCTCTCATGTAACATTACTAGGTAATAGATACCTGGAAATGTGTTTGAAAACTCATGACTAAAAATTTAATTGTCAACTGATGCCAGGGATGTGAGGCTCACATTTCCAGAGATCTAAATGCTTCAAAAATCTAAAATCAGAGCAAGAACTATATTTCATTGCCATCTCATGCTATTTATTATATAGCAACAGGTACTGAAAATACATATCCTGCCAAGCAGTAATACATACTTCACTCAAAATTAGAGAATAGACTTTTATTTACTTTCCTCAACACACTTCTTAATGTTTACATTCCTAAAGTAACAGAGGTAACATCTTTTAATATGATCTTTTTTTTTAACTATAACAGCTTCTAAAGAATAAATTATTTAACAAAAAAATTCACAGAAACAAAGAGAAAGATACCACATTAGGCTTTGTTACAATAAACCCAGGGTTTCTTCTGGAAAAGCAAATAAACAATTGTTATCCTTAACAGATATATCCTCAATAAAAATTTTTTTCAAATTAAAAACAAAACAAAGGTGCCGACACCAAAGGTAACAAAGGTAGGAAAAACAAGGTAATATTTTCATATAGAGAACATGAATGGAAAACCAGGGTCTTAATTCAGTTTCTAGAATAATTTACATGTTTTCTTTTGTCTTTTAGGGGGAGGAGGTAATTAGATTGATTGATTTTCTTAATAGAGGTACTAGGGATTAAACCCAGGATTTTGTGCATACTAAGCATGCACTCTACTACTTACACTATGCCCTCCCCTCTACATGTTTCATTTGAAAGAAATTTTTATACAGACAGAAATAGGGAAAGAAAAAAAGTAAGGTTTAACAAATAACTATATAGATATGGTACTTTGTCCATCAATCAATTCAGAAGGTGCCAAGTTATACCAGAAATCAAGATTATTCACACTACTTTATTGATTTTTCACTTCCATCAGTGTGATCTATAAAGGCTCACAGGACAAATTCTGGAGGAAATACATATATTGAAGGGCAACTACTATGTCTAAGTCGCTTCGCATTAGGTTATGTAAAATCACACTATTTTTAAACATCACACTTACTTTGCTGGGAATGTTCCTCAGTGTGCCTGTGCTCCAGGCTGTCTCTTCTGGTCGAAGAGTTTCACACTGAGGTTCATGGCTTTGTACTCCACCTTCACTGCTTTTAACAGTCTTTTTCCCATCAAGGGATACATAGCCATTGTCAGTCTCAGTTGATTTATCAATTGAATTCTTTGCTTTCTTTGATCTAAAAAGAAAACATATGTAAAGCATGTTATGTGGACTTATTTTGGATAGGTTACCAGTAGAAATTATGATCTCTTAATAATTAAATCTGGCAGTTATTTCTCAGAATTTTAATTGCTATCTTATTTTTGCAATACCTTATTTGTTTACAATAATTTTAAAATAATATCTATCACATGAAATAAACATGTAAATCCAACATCCTAATTCAGCTGATTTTATATGTTTTGGGATCTTACAAACCGCAATGCTAAGAGATATGTCCCAACTTATCAAATAATTCTTGGTCAAAATCACCTGGTCTTTGAGCAAAATCTAGAGTCAAAATTTTGCTCATTTTTTTATGATTAATAATATAGTTACAAAGTCTTATTTTTAATAAAATGTCTCAGTAATTTTCAAGTTAAGTTGCAATTACTAGCTTGGCTTAATACTCTCCTTTACCCAAATACTTTACCACTAGTATAGACACATAAAAATATGGCAATTTCATTTTAATATACAGTGGAGACATAAAAATATGTGACAAAAAGGAAAACTTTATACAAGATTCTACATAATGGAAGAAGTAAAAATGAAGAATACAAAGAAAAAGAAGTAACCTCTTTCACCCACTGAATGCTCTGGAAAAAAATGTTAGTAAACATGTAGCTTATAAGTACCTAAAAGGCTACCATTGAGGTTCTTCATTTATAGGTATTAAATTTTTCTCAATACATAAAATACAACATGGGAAGTAATAAACACACCATTTTTGATGGGTAGGCAAATTCTTGAGAAGCTCTCTTCAGAGACTACAGTGAGTGAAAGAATGGTTATTCAAAAGAAATGGTTAGTTGAAATATAACTCCCACACAGAGTTAAAATGTGCTCAATGCAGATTAGGTCTATCATAAAACATCATTAAAAAGCAATTGTATTTAATTATATTTTTAAAAATTCCCCTGAATTTTCTCCAGAGTATCAATTTTGCAAGAAAGGAAAAGTAAAATTAATATATTGCCTTCTTGTCGGCCAAAAAACAGAAGGTTTTTAAAATGGGAAAAAGAATGTTATCTTCAACACTATAGTTACTCAGTTCTATTCGAATCTTTCAGAACTGTTCAGGACCTTAAAACTCATCTGTGCTGAATGCTCCTTTTGAAAACAAGGAATCAGAAATACAGAGATGTCTAGGAGACTTATTCAAGTCACCAGTTAGAGGCAAAGCTGGCACTAGAATACAGACCTTCTGAGTATGAGGTTAATTATATTCTCCATCCTACCTCCAACTGCCCGCTCTTTGGGAAACTGCCTGTTAGGATTTCTTCTTGACACACTCATCAAAGCCTAGAAAGTTTTTGTTTTATACAAACAGGCCTCTCTCCTTCCTAACCTTCTCCGTCAAGATTACTAAAGGGGATAGACTATATCTCGCATTTGCTCTACAGAGCTCCAATACTTTCTAGTCACTAATAACCCACAGAGCAACAAGACTCAAAATTCCAATCTTCTGACCATTTTCTTTTTATATGACCCTAAGAGACATGGAGAGATGAAGGGAATGAGCCACAGAATAAAGATCATTTTAGAGTGGCAGAGGGAGGGGGGAAGATGAATTATGGTAGAAAGGAGAAAGGGCAGAAGAGAAAATAAAAGGTGCAGAGAAAACGTGTGGTCTTCTCTGCTCAAGAAAGAGAGGGATAGAAACATCAGTTATTAACTGTTCCCTTTACCACTCCCTTAAACACTGTGCAACAAGTCGATGTGGTAAAAGACCAAAGGAAGTGAAGCTACTTGATATCCTGAAAATGTGACAAACTCAAAGACAGAGAAGGAATGTGCTGGAAAGGTATTTATGAAGCTTCCTGGAAATTATACTGAGTTAGAAAGGGAGGGGAACGGGTCCCCTGAGCACCGTGCCACCGTCCAGACCGCAGCTTCTCTCTTCTGGCACCATGGCGTCTCCCAGACCGCCTTCCCCGGTGCCCACGTGGGCGTACCCCCAGCTTATGAGATGCTCAAGGAGGAACACGAGGTGGGGGGTGCTGGGGGCTTCAGAGAGCCCAGCCTCCATGACGACCACCGTGATCAACATCTGCAGTGAGACCTCCGTGTCCGACCACATCATCTGGTCCCTGTTCAACACCCTCTTCCTGAACGTGTGCTGCCTGGGCTTCATGGCATTTGCCTACTCCGCGAAGCCCAGGGACCAGAAGATGGTGGGCAATGTCCTTGGGGCCCAGAGCTATGCCTCCACCGCCAAGTGCCTGAACGTCTGCACCCTGGTGCTGGGCATCCTTCTGACCATTGTGTTCATCATTATTTTCGCCACTGGCTCCCTGATGATTTTCCAGGTGGTTTCACAGATCTTAAAGGAGTATGGAGACTACTAGTAGCTGCCCGCGGCCATCCCTTCACAGCAGTTTATACACACCCCCGTCTACAGCTGAATAAAAGCCAGCATTCCTGTGGGGGAAAAAAAAAAAAGAAAGGGAGGGGAACGGAGGTGAAGGAAGTGATGGAAGACTGGAAAGTCGGTAGAACAGAACCATTAATCAGCCAGGTGTGCAAGAGAGAAATTAATCTGGGAAGAAAGATAGAAATGCTGGACCTGCAGTGCCCAGGAACATCCTGCTAAAGATCAGTAGGCAGTCGAAAACAAAGGCCTGGGAGCCAGTGGTCAAAGCAGAAAAAGTGGCTGAAAACTTGTAGAGAGAAACAGAATCCCAGACACCAAAAGATATGGGCCTAGTGACAAGGGCTCTAAATCAGTAATTTTCAGCTTTAAGAACTTTTCTAAGATAAATGTATTCCCTTCCCTACCAGGACAGAGTCAAGACTATGTTAAGCCAGAGAGAAGAGTACCAGTAGCGCTCATTCCATACACCTTTTGGCTATCTTCCACTTCCCCCCTTCCTTATCTCTGCTTCCTTCCAATCTTCTTTGAGTTGTTCCTCTCCCCAGTATCTCTTCAAAGTATACGTAACACTATCAGGATCTATGAATGGTGAGTTCCTAACATATAGTAGCTATCTGATGTTTCTCTTGAGCTAAATGCAGGTAAGTTGAAAAGCAAGCTGAAACCACAAAGAAAATACTAAACGTAAATGTCACTCTCAGAGTTTATAAAGCAGCTGAAAATACAAATTGAGGCAGCTTGGTCGTGCCTGGTAATAACAGCACTTGCAAGGGCATCGTTGGAGTGGGACAGCAGGGGCAGCCAATAATGGCAACTCAGTCAAAGGCAATTCCAGGGCAGGGGGTCAGGGGCAGCCCAGAGGGGTTGGGAGATGGGCTACATACAGAGGATTAATTGAATAAGTAAGTGTATTGGAGACAATGAGAACTAAGTTTTTCAGTGATACAGAAGGAAGATATAGAGAAGAAAAAACAAAATGAACTCTGTGGTACTGTGTTTGAATTGGAACTGTCATTGCAAACTCATGGCTTATGTCTAGATAAAGAAATAAATATAGCTGTAAAAGGACACACACACACACACACACACACACACACACACACACACACTTTCTGGCTCTGTTCACTGAGAAGGCCCTGGGATAGCAACACCTCAACAGCAATGAACAAATCTAGCACTCAGATCTTTGTTTCTATATTCTCCTCTCCTTAAATTAAGAAATGGTTGATTCCAAGCCTGAGGCAAAGGAAATACAAGTTGAACCTGGAAGTACTGTTGTGCCAGAAAGTAAGGAAGTGTTCAGAGAAAGATTAGGACATTCCACAAAGACAGAGAAATTGCTCAAAGGGGCTCCACTGGCCAAATCGAAACCAATCTAATCACCAAACTAAATAATAGTAACAAACTGAATAAAACAGAAATGTAGCAGTAAATAATTAAAGGAAAGCTCTTCCTTAAAACAGAATGCCAGCTAGTAAGTATAGAAGGAATGATGGAGTTTGAAAAATCACCATCGGCGATCATCATAATAAAAGTCAGGCAAGAATCATCAATGGATGCTAAAACCAGAAGGCGAAGGTGGGATGAGAAATGGGTTACTTTTTTATAGTCAATGCATCTCCAGATAGGGCATCTGCTAATTATAAAGGGAAAAATAAATAAATTTACAATGGAGAAATCTGGCATCTACTAGCTTGATCAAGAGATTAGTGTAAATATCATTAGTAAGGGAACAAATCAACATTTTTTGCCACCTGATAGGATGCAACAAAAAGAATGAAGTATCATTTCTATGATACTCCTGCCAAAAGTGTATAACTTGGGTTGAATTATAAAGAAATATCACACTACTAACCCAGGGGTGTACTGCTAAATGCTGAACAACCAGCTTTCCAGCCTTTGTTTCTAGTGTTCCTTTATTTCCATGGTGTAAACAATCTGACGATGGCCAATTTCAAGTACCAACTGATAACAATGAACACAGCATTGGGAAGAGATATGCATATTCAGCTCACACAAGTCACCTGAAGCCAGATCCAGAAAACCACTGACACAAATCCAAATTAAGGAACATTCTGCTAAGTGACTGCTCTGCATTTTCAAAAAAGTGAAGAATGTGAAACTTGAGGAAAGATTGAAGTCTGTTCCAGAATGAAGGAGACTAAAAAGACACTGGGTTTGATCACTGGCTGTGGCACATGGTCCCAGATTAGATCCTTTTGCTGTAAAGGATATTATTAGGGTCAGTTAACAGAATTGAACTGGGTCTCTGTGTGAAAGAGATGTGGGAGTTCTTTGCACTATTCTGTCATCTTTTAAGTTTGAAATTGTTTCAAAATAAAATTATATATATATATTAATCACAAAGTGATTAATACTCTGATTAGGGCATACTTTAGATTTGAGCATAGAGGAAATGCTGAAAGGAAAAAAATGCCACAGAGCTAAATTGCAACTGATGTAGGTTAAAGAGGGTCAAAACTTGTGACTGCTTCAGACAAGGTTTAGTTTTACCACTGACTGCTACATCATCCATATTGTCAATAACAGCTGAAACTAAGAACTTCACAGAATAAAGTTACTTTCTCAAAAGGAACACAGGTTACCAAGACTCAGATGTTTAATTCTTCTCATTCCTCTATTTAAAGAAATAAAACTAATACGGAAAGACATTAGGAGTAATAGATTTATTTTTAAAAAATACTGTTAAACTCAACTTAGAGTATATTTTTTAAGGGAAGCTACTTCTATTTAAGTCAACTTTAAAATATGTAAAAAAAATAAACTGCAGTGAGGTAAATAGCATTTTGATTTTTCTTTTTCTTTCTTTCTTTTTTATCATTTAACAGAATCCCCTCCTTTACAGAGGAGAATTTGTGATTTTATTTTTCATAATTGTATTCTTTTACAGCATAGTGATTTGATATTAATAGTACTTTGATTTTAAAGTAAAAACATGCATCTAAATCATCATTCCCTACCAAAAACAAAAAGCAGGGTAGAAAGAAACTGGTATTAGGAATTAAAGTCCTACAGTATAGAAACAAATGGTACCTTTTAGTATTATCCACAAAAAGATCTACCTCTTGATAGCTACACTTACTGCATATAATACGTTCACTTAAGTATTTCCATACGAAACCTTGTAAATATTTACTGAAAAGGCTGCTGAAATTTTGACAGGGATTGCATTGGATCTGTAGATCAATTTGAGGGAAACTGATTTCTTATCAATATTAAATCTTCTAATCCATGAACATCATATATGTCTCCATTCATTTAGGTCTTTCTTAACTTCTCTTACCAATGTTTTGTCAATGTACAGATGTTGAAAATATTTTGTACCAAAGAACCTAGAATAACCAAAACAATTCTGAAAACAGTAACATTTGGAGGGTTAACAATACCTGACTTTAAGCTTTATTATAAAGCTACAGCAATCAAGAAAGTGTGGTATTAACATCAATATAGACAAATGAATAGAACAGAAGTAGTCCAGAAACAGATCCATCCATATAAGGGTGGCTGATTTCTGACAGCACAAAGGTGCAAAAGGAATTCAGGGGAGGAAAAATAGTCTTTGCAACAAACGGTGTTAGAACAATAGGACAGTTACATGCCAAAAACAAAACCCCAAAAAACTCTTTTACCTACCACATCATATACAAAAATTAACTCAAAATCAACCATAAGCCTAAACGTACAACCTAAAACTATAAAATGTCTAGAAGAAAATACAGAAAATATTTGTGACTTTTGGTTTGCCAAAGAAATCTTAAGATATAACACCAGAAGAAAATTTCATCAAAGACAAAAATTCATAAATTGGACTTCTGAAAACTACTGTTCAAAAGATACTGTTAAGAGAAGCAAAAGATAAGACATAAACTGGGAAAAAATATTTGCAAAGCACATACCTGATAAAGGACTTGTATCCAAACTATACAATGGACGGTCAGAACTCAATAATAAGAAACCACCCAATAAAAAAGTGGACAAAATATTTGAAGAGACACTTCACTAAAGAAGAAATCTGATGGCAAATAAGCATATGAGATCAACAATAAGTAAAATGTTGTATAGCAGATCTCTAGAATGTTTTCACCTTGCATGACTCAAACTTCATTAAGCCCACTGAACAGAAACTCCCCATTTTCCACTCCCCGCAGGCCCTGGCAATCACCATCTGTTAATTAGTGTTTATATGCAACTATTTCTCATCCCTAGCACCACAGTGTACTGAATTATCTACAATAAGCCATTGTATTTCTATTGTTACACTAGTTAAAGCTTTTTATGTTATATTTCTATGACATAGTATAGCCTGTTGGTTAAGAACACATACTCTGGAGTCTGCCAGACATGAAATGAATCCCTGCACTATCAATCATTAGACACATAACATTAAGCAAGTTATTTAATCTAAGTCGCAGTTTCCTTACTACCACTACTTGCATCAAAGAGTTGTGAGGATTAAACAACATGTTTAAAGATCTTAGTACTGTGTCTATAAAGAATAAGATCTCCAATAAGTGTAAGCTATTGTTTTTTATCTGTCTTAAAAAAATACATTCACTTAATAAAATCAGAGTTAACAATATTTTCTTAGCTGAACTCAAACACCATGAGTTACAGGCATCTGAGCAGAGAGGTTAGTATTATCTTGAAAGCAGGAGACATTTAACTCTACACTGATTTCACTTATTCCATGATAGAAGCAGTATTTCCTGCATTTAGATTTTTTTTTTGATTGACACATAGTTGACATACAACATTGTACTAGTTTCAGGTGTACAACATAGTGGTATGACATTTATATATTCCCACACTGGATCCTGAACAAAAGCATTTGCAAAGAAAAAATGTGCAATTTCACTGCCATGGTCAATGCTTATAGTTTTATAACTAGCCTCTACTTTAATCATTGGATGGCACGGCCTGTGTAGAATTTTCTTTCAAGTATTATGCTTGACATTCAAGAAGGGTAGCTCTATGGCAAAAATACTCTTAGGACGACCTGACCTTTAGAAATACACATAGTATAATTACTTTAATTCCTTTGTGAGATATGGTGAGAAACGATTTTGTTCTTTTCTGAAAAAGTACAGGTAAATGTACAACCTACACCATAAATAAACCATAAAAACAGATTTTTTTAACATTAAAAACTTCAACCAGAAAGTTAACACAACCTTTTAAAAACTTACTACCTTATAAAATATCAAATATTTGCTAAACATGAAAACTTTTGCGTTTCTATATTAAAAACCTTGTCAAGTAATTAAGAACACTCATGACACACTGTACTGTCATGGAAAAAAAGTTAGAAGTATTTGTTGGTCCTCTCAAAAATATTCAGAGGTATATAAATAAAGCAACCGAAGAACACCCTTTCAGTACTAAAAAACATTAGAGAGTCGCAAGGGAAATTTAACAGTAGCAGATAACTCTTATTCTAGAACATAGTATGAAATTTCTGGTCCTGCTCTCATTTCTGCAAGACTAGGAATTAAGGGGGAGGGGAGGTTAGAGAATCAGAATGCATGAAATCTCAGGTATAGTAAGAAAATGACACAGGGGCCTATATGTAACTATCACTGCTATCTGAAGTTATACACACACCTTGATTACATGCTAACATAGCTCTTCAAAGACTTTTGGGACCCTATATTTCTCTAGGTATCCTCTACAAAACGTAAGTTTGAGAGATGTGTACCAAATTAAGTTTATTTACAGTACCTGTAATCTTTCTAGGGCCAGTCCAACTCTAAAATACAGTGATTCTAGCAAATTTAATGAGTTACTAGTTGTGGCCACAAAATATCCTTAAAAATCTGGGATATACCAGCATTTACATTGTCTTCATCCTTGTCTGTGGAAGACAGCCAACAGAGCTTCACCCAGTTTATAGTTTAAATGACTGTACTATTTAAACTACAGTCAGCAAAAACCAAATTTTAATCCTTGTACCAAAAATTTCTGGTGGGATTGCACACCACTTTAACTTATGCAGTATACTCCATTACGTGAAGAAAATCAACTTAATAAATCTTTAACTTTTACTTCAGTATCTTAAAAACAGTAAATATGGAAGCTAAAGGGGTTAGAAATCTTCAAGATTAGGTAAGTCAAGCATATGAGTTAACATGTGGCCTGATTTAATTCTGGTATCTGTCTCTAATTCACCAAGTCAGTTTATAAACATTACTTTTCCTACTCAAAAATGACCATAATTCCTATTGACTATGTTTTAGTGACATTGTGATGGTCAAATGAATCCTAAAGGACATGAAAGAAAACCTAGAATCTATCTGAATTTTGAAACAGGTATTATGCTGAAAACATATACAATCTAGATGTAATTCTTCCTGTTCAATTTCTTCCGTAGCAACTGCAATCATGCTAATTTAAGACAATATATACTTCATTAAAATTAAAGTGCTAAATTCTTAGGAAATACGGTTGATTTCTGCATCTTTTTTACTTGATACTTTCTTTGGCTTTGTTCTCTCAGGTTCACAGAGTTCTTTCACAATAATTCCTAATTTCTTCAAATGAGAAATACTATGCCTAATTCTAAAAGGACTAGTTTTATTTTGAGAATGGAATGTACTTAGATATGATAAACGGGCCTTTCCCCATTTATCACAGGATGTTAAAAACACTAGTTTTCCTTCTAACATCTAGAAAATTATCAAGACGTCAAACACAAAGCTTAGATATTTGTGTGGCTATGAATTTATTTTCCCATCAATTACGTTAATTCAGATACCTTAATGTAAGTACCCAGCCTTTTAACTTATTATCATCACAATTTTAAGTCTCAGTTGATATTTCAGTTTAAGTCCTTTCTGACTTATCAGAGCCTAAAAGACCAAGACATCATCAAGATTTCAGAACTCAGTGCAGAACTTCTAAAATTAAGATTTCTTTGTAACTAATATTTAAAAGTCTCATTCATATGTTGGCAAACCAGTCCCCAAATGAAACAGTTGAAAATAGTGCATCTTTAAAAACACTTAGATTATAGTTGTCATGATTAAAAAGAACAAATCCAAAGGGATTTAGCCACCATAGCATCAATCAGTAGTCAAAGTCATGCTACAGTTCAAAGAGAGGAAAATTAAAGTCTGAAACTCATTTGAATAGAGAAACATGGTAGAAATCCAAAGGTACTAACCTACTAATTTTGGAGGATTCTGAATACTGTATAACACAATATCACTTTTAAACAACCAAAACAATTAAGTGATCCCCCAAAGCAAAACATATCCAGTATGCTATTTATAACTGCTTAACAAAAAGTCCTGAGAAATGTTTAAGAAATTGACTTTGCAGTGATAAAACTATCATATCCTTACTGTCAGGAAGTATAGCTATTTTTATATGTATATAAAAAAAAAGACTAACCAAGAGAGATAGAGACTGAATCCAATCCAAGTTAAAAACAAAACAAAAACTGTATCTTCTCTGGAAGAAGACTAGTTGGTTGGAAGAGTCAGGCTATGAACTTACTGACATGTTACTGCAAAAAAACTAAAATTTTGGAAAATTTCCGCCCAAATTACAATCAATTAAAACATGCCCAAGATAGAACTGCTTAATTGCATAATGCATGATAAACTTTATCTTAAGAGCATAATCACACATTGATATGTGTGATTTTGTTAATATTAACAAAAGTGACTGAAAATAGTTACTTGCAATATCCCTTTTCTTGATGTATTAACAACTTTCATCAGTTTTGGTAAATCTTTATTGTGGTACAAACTATATAAAAAAGCCCAATGTACAAAAACAAAACTTTGTATTACAGTATCCATTTTATTCTTTTAAATAACAATGCCTGTATGTTTTGTTTCAGAAAGTTTTACATAATTGAGGCAGAGATTAAAAACACACAACTCATATGGCATATTAATAAAGACAATTTGACCTACAATACTGATAAAAATAAAATAGTACTTGAAAAATCACAAAAGAAACAAAGATCAAGAAATCCTAACTAAATATACTTTGATGTTATATATTCATTCTCATATAGATGTATTTACATAAATCCCAAGGTAACCTTTATGGTCTCTATTTTTCCATTATCTATAGCATTATAATTTATCAAAATAAAATCCATAATAGGGCTGTCATATTTAAAGTCATTAGTATTCATTACCTGAGACTAAGTTTCAGAAAAGGGACAGTGCACTTCTATGCCATATAAAGTCTTGAATAAATACAAACCCTGATAAAAAGAAAGCAGCATGCCAGAGATCTCTGAAGACTGTGCCAACGCTGTAAGAGGCAGTTGCAGCATGACTCTGAACTCCTCCCTCCTGTGTGTTATCAGTGGTACTAGAGCCATCTCCTTCCCTATGTACTTCCAAATGGGCTGCTTTTCTTAATTTCCTTCATTAGAAGAGATTAAGAGCAGAAGGCAGTTTTAAAATTTTAACAACCACTTTCTCGGTAGTGTATTCAAAATTTTGGTAAACATAAACACAGGAACTTTAATACACAGTAAAATTCAGATTGCTGGATAAAAGTTAATCCAAATATTAAGTACATATTCAAGACCAATTCTATAAATGGTATTGTTCCTTGCTCATACTGACAGGTCAGTGGACATTAGGGTTGTAAGGATGGCACTGAACAGATACCTACAAAAGCATCCCTTCCCTACTTGAATGTCACTCACATGCAGATGAAGAAAGAAGAAAATTTAGATTGGAGAGAATTATAATCTAAATGATTAGCAGTGCTATTTATCTAATTTAGGTATTATCTTTTCCCAAAAAAAGGTTTAAATCTCAATATACGAAAACTGCAAATGTCACAATGTCTTAGTAACAGTACACAAAAAAGGAATTGCTCCCAAAGACCCTTAAAATAGAATTCCATTAATTAAAAAAAAAAGTTTAAAAAAAAATCATTGGGAGGAGGGTATAGCTCAAGTGGTAGATTGCATGCTTTGCACACATGAGGTCCTGGGTTCTATCCCCAGTACCTCGTCTAAAAATAAATAAACCTAATTACCTCTCCCCCTGCCACTGCCAAAACAAAATAATTAAATAATACAATAATAAAGAAATAAAACATAAAAAATAGAATGTTAAAAAAAGTTTAAAAAAATAGAATTCCATTGTGCTAAGTGAACAGTGAGACTGCAAAGTTTACTTAATCAAGGGGCAATATTAAAAGCTTCTAATAGCATTTAACAAATAGTTTAGTGAACTTTTTTTTTGACTTTTGTTTTTTGCCAAAACATCTTGTAAGTACAAGATTTTGTAAATAGCAGAAATTATTAGCAAATTCAGCTAACATATATCCCCTACATTGATATGAAGTGCCTTAATAACAAGCTTCAAGAAAGAAAATAAACAGAAACAGGTATGTGGTCTTAAAATGGCTTTGAATTAAGTAACAGAAACTAAAATTTCAGTAGCTGGCTTCTGAATCTCACTAATTTCTTTGAAAGAACAAGTTCACAAGATTAACATTTTATTCAAAGTCAAGAACAATCCTGGGTTCAAATGATAGAAACCTACAAAAAGATCACTTTTAATAGACAGTACCTTCTTCTTTTACCCCCTGCACTTGGCGGAGGTTTGGGTGTCCTTGTTGAGACGATCTGGCAGTGCACAGTTCCCAGGAGCAGCATCAGCCATACTGGCCCAACCACTTCCGTCAGAGGTATGCTATGCGGGCTGGAAGCGGAACAGAATAATACTATTGCGGCAACTACAAAGAGGGAAAGAAAATACATTCAATTATAGATCTGATAGTTACTTCCTCACAACTTTAAAAATCGTTCTGACATTGCTTCTTGACAGATTATAATTTAAATTTAAATGAGTTAAAAGTTACTCCAACAAGCTCCTTCAGACTATTTTATTGTTTGACACTAGCTAACCACGCTATTCAGAAATAAACTCTTGGAACAGGGTAACACCCAACATAGTCTTTAAAGTACACACCTTCCTGCAGTGAAAACTAGACGCATATAAATCTAAAGGTATTCCTGGTAAGATCACAAACACCCTCCTCAGTTTAGAGGAACATACAAAGAAACAATTAAAATACCTGTAACATAAAGAAGCAATTAAAGTACCTGTAATGGACTGAATTTGTGCCCACCGACTCCATATATTGAAGTCCTGACCCCCAATATGACTATCTTTACAGACAGGGCCTATAGGATGTAATAAAGTTTGAATGAAATCATAAGAGTGGGGCCTTAATTCAAAAGGACCAGTGTCCTCACAAGAGGAAGAGATAAGAGAACTCTCTCCCCGCTCCTGCACAGAATAAAAGTGAGAAGGTAACTGTCTTCAAGTCAGGAAGAGAAACCTACAACAGATACCAACCCTGGTGGCACCTTGATCTGGGACTTCTAGCCCCCAGAACTGGGAAAAAATGAATTTCTGCTGTTTAAGCCAGTCTGTGATATTCTATTACAGCAGCCTGAGTAGACTAATAGAATATCTATGATACAAAGCAAAGAGATGTAGTTAAATTGGAGGGCAATGAAGGGATTCAGATGCCTAACTCTCCAAGTTTCCCTAACTCTGAGAGAACAAGTAGGTAACTAAGTAAATAACAGGAAAAAGGGTTAACCAGGCCAAGAGTAGCAGACCCAACAGTATATAGGCCAAAAAAAAAAAAAGGCCATGTTTAAGAAACAGCAGTCAATTTAGTCTGGTTAACACTGGGGGAAAATTCAACAAGAGACTGACTGAAATCTTGCCTTTTACTTTGAAGGCAATGATAATTAGGAGGAGATTTAGAACTTAAGTGGCTGCTTTGACTTGTAATTTAAAAAGATAATGGATAGAAGGTAAAAGACATTAGGGCTCTTGGCAGTAATCTCGTGAGAAATGCTACAAACAAGAAGCAGGGATGGAGCTGAGGATAAATAGTTAAGATACTTAAAATGCATGTAATTAAAGTGAAAAATTGTATGTAGTTGCATAAAATCAAGTCTGACTGCACAGGCTTCTTTCTACTTTTCAGGAGATGAAGGTGGGACAGAGAATGAAGACATAACTCAGAGCACTGCACCCAAGGAGACAAAGGCACAGAGTCGTTTCTAAAGGCACCAGTGGACTGCTGAGGGTCATTAGGGGCCTACCATGACTTTGTCACTGGCTGTGTGACTTGAAGCAAGTTAAGTCACTTTTAAAACTAAGTTTTACTAGGAGACTGTTCAGTGTTCAACACTTATGAACACTAACAATGTTAAATCTGTTTGGAACTGAAAAATTATCTTTTTCATGCCTTACCTGACAGCTATTTAACTTAGGTAAGTAAGTGAATTTCAGCCACAATATGTGAACTTCTAGTTACATTAAACACTTGTTTGCCTTCAAATACTTGAAAGCAACAATATCAAAAAAGGACAATGACAATGCACAGTAGTTACAATGAATGGTATTCACTAATTATTACTCTAATAAGCAAATGCAATTTCTGTCCACTTCAGAATAAAGTTTTCTCCTTTAGGTAAACTACTAGAAAGCGTTAGAGGCTAACTACAAGCTCACTCCCTTTTATGTATAGAAGATTATACCCTGGCTTAAAAGAAACACCTTTACTTAAATAAAAGTTTTTAGTTTTTATTGTATTTTCATTTACTTAAAAGATACTACCTTTTACTTAGAGTTTGTTGATAAGAAATATTTAAATAATCATTCAAGATTATAATTGTGTTTCTTAAAAAGTAAGACATTAAAAAGACTGAAAGGGTACCAACCAAATTAAAATCGTTCCTTTGTTAGAGTGATGGAATGTGAGTGGTTTCTTCCTTTAGACTCCAAACGCTCTAGAGCGCTGTGTATTCTGCGCGGCACACTGCTGCTATGACTATGCACTGGAATGCTGCTGTGCTGGGAGTCAGCGTCACAGAGTTGTTAAGCATGTGGCTCTGAGGTCAGACAGTTTAGACTTGAACCTGGGCTCTGCCACACTTGGTGACTGTGTGACTTTGGGCCCTAAGGCCCTTCAGGTCCCATGTCTATAAGCTAGGCATAACAACAGTAACTATACTCACTGGGGTGTGATGAGGATTAAACGAGCATCTGTGAAAAGCACTTAGAACAGTACATGGTACACTGAATTTCAATACAGAATGAGGACAGTCTCAGGACACAGTGGTCAAGAGGAAAATACACATACTGAGAAAGAAAAAATTAATTAAGGCTATATAAAAAGACTGGTGTGTATGTATGTATGGGGATACGTTTTGAAGAGACTTTATAATTTTTAAAAATGCTCTCAACTTGTATTTTTCTTTAGCCACCCATAGATTCAGATTTTTATAAAATTACACTGGAAAATAATTGTTTTGTTTCCTCCATTTTTTAATACCGAACTTATTAAATATCATAGTAAGTGCATATCTTCACACTCAGTATTAATTAGCATATGTTTTAAAATAAAAAAAGCCTTAGTAACCCTAAGAATAAAACACACTGAAGTTAAAAGCAAAATGCATTTCTATCACTTAATTATACCTTGAAGAAGATAAAGGACAAGAAGCCAGAAAAAGATGACTTTTGATGTTACTTGTAACCACCACCGGAAGAAAAAGGGAAAAAATACAACTCGAACAATTCCCTTTCTAGTCAGAGAAGTCCATGGACTTTCAGGTTTTGCCTTAGCAAATGCAGACCCTGAAAAAAGTAAAATGACAGAGAACACTTGTTATTCTTTAATTCCCTTACAGAAAAAAATTCAACATGCGAAGAACAGTAAAATGTGTAATTTTACTTGGTACTATAGTATGAGTGGCAAATGTCCAATTTTGGGTAGGGGATACTTTTAAAAACATTACTCGTGCTATCATATTAATTCAGATACTTTGAAAAAATAAACTATTTTTAACTGAAATAACAGCAAAATTTCTCCCATATATTTTATTAACAGAAGACAATGTTCAAATATCAGTTCCAGTTAGGAATTTTTATAAAAAGCCTTACAGTTTGCTAGGCAAATATAAGCTGCTTTTCTTTTACATTTATTAGTTCTTGGTATGATTTCTGGTGGGAGAAAAGACTAGTCAATAATATTTAAATGCTCCATTCTCTCTTTTTAAACTATTCTTGCCTTCTTTTAGGCTCACAAACATATGTATTTAACCCATTTTGAATTCTGTTTCTTTAAGGTCAATTTCTAATTGTATTAAGCATTTATTTACTCAAGGCTCACCTCTTACAAGATCGACATCTATGAGGTCTGGTTTTACATGTGCTGTTTTCTTTGGTTTATTCCTTAACCCCTGTAATATATTAAAAGTTGTATTGATAAGACCGTAGATCTTTAAAGTCCTCATGACAAGAAAAAATACTTTTGTAACCATGTATGGGGACAAATATTTAAACTAGACTTACTATGGTGATCACTTCTTATTATATACAAATAATGAATCATTATGTTGTACACCTGAAACTAATACAGTGTTATATGCCCCAATTACAACTCAGTAAAAAGGTAGTACTGGAATTCTATATACATATACTTTTAAAATCTAGAATAGCAAAGAAGAATCACCCCTAAAGATTTCATTAAAAAAAAAACTAAGTAATAGACAAAAATTAACAAGTTATATATTTGTTGGAAATGGAACACAAGTATAGTATTGTAATAAACTGTTTTACTTTCCAAAATGGTAAGTTTAGGGATGTCCGTAACATTTGAGGCCTGTTTATTACGAAAAGTATAATTCTAAAACAAAGACTATCGCTACGAATCAATTTGGATGTACAGCCTAAGATGGTACACAAGACTGTGCTGGCCCCAGTTTTGCACAGGAAAGTGTTGAGTTTGGCTGGGAGAGCAGTGGCCCTGAAGGGCCCTTAAGTGTGATTCCGGGGGCATTGTTGCAGAAAGCAGTGGGTCACAGGCTGAGGACAGACAGGGATGCAGACTTTTTAGCAGATGCCACCATGTAGGGGTGGTATCAGCTGAGACCCAGAGAGGATGATGCACACCTCAGGGTTGCCACTATGTTCACATGCCAACCACTAACCGGACCACAATGCCACCTCATCACCTCAGAACTTAGATGCCATGCCCAGTAGGAGGAAAAGGGGGAAAGCAGGAACCATGAATTGAATTAGTTTAAACTTGAAATTACTAAACACTAAGATTAAGTTTCTGCCATAGTGTACAGAGTTAGAGCAGGGGTGGAGATCAAAATCAATGAAAAAAACTATCAAAAGATAAATTACACTGAAGACCAGGATGTTAAGAACTGGAAGAGCTTAGGCTAAACTCCTTGGGACCCAAGAACTGAGAGATGACACAGTGTTTAGATTTGCTTACTGTTGGTTCAATTAACCAAGTAAATGCAAAAAATCCTTTGTTTCATTCTAATTTAAGTTATCAACGACCCCCTAAATTAAAAATCTGATCAAGTACTATTTGCATGTAAAACAAAGAAGTGGACAGCATTTGAGCTCAGAATTAACTGAGATGTTTAAACCAAAAATGCACCCTGAAATCAAGATGTAATTAATTCTTGAAACCCTTCAAATAGCCTGTCCATCTGAAGTTGCAAACTACCCACAGACACAAAAATAAAAGAGAAAGAAAGGGTCAGGGTTGATGATAAAGCCATGATAATTTTATATACAGTCAATCCTCATAGATTCCATATTTGTAAATTTACCTATTTATTAAAATTTATTTGTACCAATTGGTAACACAACCTCTCAAGGTACTTAATATTCCCTGTCCAACAAGTTACAGACTGTCAGAGAGCGTAAGTGATTTTAAGGCCTTACTAGACTACTCTGCTGCTCTGTTTGCTTGACTATTCCAACTCTTCTCACCAGACTACTGTCTCATAGAGCTCTCACTTCTCTTTCCTCCTCCCCTTACATCTCTTCCTTCACCTATCCATTCAATGTTATTTCCCAGTGTTCCATTCTCAGCCTTTTTCTCTCCTCATTCAACGTAAATCCACTCACTTCTACAGCTATGTCTGTATAATGTGCATAATATATAATATATAGAAAGCCACATGTACCTATATATACACATTTTACATACTGAAGACTCCCAAAACTCACTCCTAAGTACCACCAGGATATTTCTAAAACAGAATTCTATATCTGCTCTTTTTCTAGTATTTCCCATCATACTTAGTCCTGGCTTAGCGAAGTTGTTAAAATAGAAATTTAATCAGGTAACTTTTTTCTGCTTAAAATCCTTCAATGTCTCCCTCATTGTTTTCCAGATTATGTCTAGATTCTTGGGTAAGACAGTGAAGCCCCTTCATGATCTGACCTCCATTTTCCTTTCTAATTTTACTTCTAATCACCCTAATCTCCTTTTCCATCCAACCTATTACCCATCAAGTCCCTTGAGGATTTCTCAGTCAGTCATGCTACTTCCTTCCTTTATGCATTTTTCCATATGCTCTTCATTCTGCCTAGAATGTCTTCCTCATTCTCCCTAATGTCTCTCAAACTCAGCTCCTGAGTCACTTCCTCTGAGTGAAGTCTTTCCTAACCTCCCCAGGGCTGCTTCCCCTGTTTGCTCCCAAATAGAGACCTAAACATCCCTCTCTTAATTGAACTGATCTTACTTGTAATTATGTATCTCATCTACAAAATTATAATCCATTTTATCTTTTTTCCCGATTTAATCCTGTATTTAACACATAGTAGGTGTTACTACGTGTTATGCAACTTTGTTAACTCTATTATTTCTTCAAGAAAATAGCTCAAAGATTAAAATTGACAAGTGGCAACTAATCTTGCTCTTTATTACAGGCGACTAAGTTGTCTAAACACTGTGATTTTTGTAACAGATTTTTAAGTAATTTTAGATAATGGTTTTCAACTTAATATAAACCTTTCTGTACAAAATAGAAACTGTCAAGCAACTAAAGTAACATTCTCTGGGCCAATATTAAGTTTAGCTCGTGCAGGAACACACTGATTAGTATTATCTACATAAATGAAAACTATAAATCTTATTACCAAAAAGATGTGTTTGCTGAGAAACAGAACAAATTTAGTTAAAAAATAGTTTCCATGCTAGCAAGGTAGCCTGAGTTTATCTTATCAGCATAAATGATTACATGTTCAAGAAGAAACTATCTACTACAAGACATTTTAATTAATGCTTTATTTTCCTAAAGTCTTTTAAAAAAAACAACTAACTGGTTCAGCGATTCTCTTTGCACCCAAGTCATTCTGTTAGTAGCACCAAAAAGCAGATCTCAATGAAGCAGAGCAACACTTGCAGAGGACCACTCAGGTGGGGAAAATCCTGAAACACTTACCACTTTAATAAACTGTACAGAGCAATGACAGCATCAAAAGGGAGGAAAAGTAAACTAGAAGTATAAGGTGACAAGTGAAAGGGGAAGAAAGCTGACAAAAAATAATCATTAGAAATTAAATTTTAAAAGAACAGAAAGATGCTAAAAAGCAAAAAAAAAAAAAAGAAAAATTGTCAGAGGTAAAGACATATGAATATGCCATCACAAAGATTTTACCTCTTTATTGAAAAGTTTGGATAAAATAAGTAGTATTAATTTACCTTAAAAGGTATATGGAAAGACATTAAATAAAATATGGTTAATATTCAATTCAAAGAATACACAAAATGAAATAAACTTGTTACCTTGATTTCCCTCTGTTCAACAGATTTTTCCCATATTTGTTGATCATATGCTCCAATCTATGAAAATAAATTAAAAATACTAAATTAAATGATCATTGTTGGTACCCATCCAGTTGGTATAACTCTGTTGAATTACAAGCAACTTAATGTTCACTCAGCACAGATTAGATTTTTGTGTGATCAATACTGCATGGCACTGGCTCTCAAGAATGTTTTCAGGACTGGCAGTTTCAGCAACAACTGGAACTTGTTAGAAATGCAGACTCTCTGGTCTCACTCCAGAGTTACTAAATCAGAAATATGGGTGTGATATTCAACAATCTGTTTTAAAATCCCTCCAGATTATTCTGATACACTAGTAAGAAGTTTAAAAACCTAGGGTAGTGGCCCTAGGGTACTTTTTATTTTAAATAAACACAATTGCTACAGCCCTTGTACATTCAAGAAAAAACTCCCAAGTGATAAATTCTTTATGGAGTTATTTTTAGAGGAAAAATACCAATATTCTGCAGAAGTAAAAATTCGTAAGCACGGAGACCACAATTACCACTTGGATTAAGGTTTAAATTGAAAAATACAATCATGTAAGTGACTGAAGACACAGGGAAAGCATCAAGAAGTAGAATCTTTGTAGCTTCTATGTCTATTACTCTTAGATGCTGGAAAGCTCTCTGAAAGATAAGCTTTACCTGGGCAGGATGAACAAACCATTTTTACTATTCTTGACCAAGTTCTCTGCTGTTAGCTCCTATCATTTCCAGTTTCCACTTAATCTCCTATATCCAATAGTCACTGAAATGGGTCAACAACCTATAATTTTAACTGACATTTTTCATTAGCATTAATTGAAAATTAGAATCCTAAGAAATTAAAATTACTTCAGGTAATTACAATTTAGAGACTAGAGACAGAGAACAGAGATAGGCAAAGATTATGAGAAAATTCAAGAAAGAGTATTTTCTGACTCACATCTTTCTATCCAGAAATCCTCTTATCTTCACGTTATATTTTAAAATCTCATTACAAGAAATGAGAAATTGAGAATATGAGAATGGTTTAAAGATAGACATGAAGGAAGTAGAACAAAATGATTTATTAAATCATTTTAAAAGGTACGACTTTCATAAAGACTTTTCAAGGATATACATGTTCTTGTACATTTTCAAGCAGAGAGAAAGCAATACCCAGCCATCCAGTGTGTATCTGGGGATGTTCCACAAGAGCCCCTCATTTCTATTATTCTCTTCTACACATTACCTTATTCATACTAATTGCTCTGCTCCTTTAAATATTATAAATATTATTGTTCCTTTTTTCATCACTTTCCTGTGACTCCTTTCTTATCTTAAAAATCACTTTATGAGGGGGTGGGATATAGCTCAGTGGTAGAGCACATGCTTAGCTTGTGTGAGATCTTGGGTTCAATCCCGAGTACCTCCTTTAAAAAAATCACTTTATGATATAATATATCCCGTAATTAAAATTGTATAACATCTAGACCACACCACATAGACTGACTTCACTTACATATAACCAAAACTACCATCAATCTCTATTAACACATGATTAAGAAGTCCTAGGTAAGCAAAAACCAAATGGTTAGACATAATGGTAGAGATGACCTGCAGTGACTAATTGCCACTAACCATCTAAATTCTGAATTCAGTCAGCCTCCTTAAAATCAATGTGGGAACATAGATTCCATAAGAGTAATTCTGCTCTACTGCAGTAATTCAGAAATGACTGGGCTTAATCAAAATTTATCGTTTAAATGTTTTAACTGTTTCAATGTACTGCATACTCTTCAGTGAAACAAAAACCAAGACTAATAAAGAATAGGTACCAATATGTTTTAATAACTATTTTGGAAGTATTTTGTTTTCAAGTTCTTTAAAAAGAACTGCATTTTTATTTTAAGATGACTCAAGAATATGGACACGGCAATATAGTCCCATAATCTAAAGTCAGGGACTATGAAATAGTGCAAGTGCAATAGACCAAACCAAGAGAAAATAACTACATTTTAAAATGCCATACAAAAGATTAAAGGAAACTTAGTAGTAATATTTGTCTAACAGAACAGGAATTTTAATCAAAGAATATGTTCTTTAATTGAGAAAAATATTATATAAAATTCTGGCTACTTTCAAGTTTCGGCTATCTCCTAAATGCTCTTCCCTGCCCCACAAAATGCCTCTACTATTTGGGTGTCTAGAAAAGTGCCTAACATTATACAGGAACAAAAGGATATATAAGCACATGATTTTTTGTTGGTAGACAGACTTAGAAATACCTAGGTAATTAATTCATGAGTAGTTCTATAGATATCCAACCATATTGTTTATAAGTGATGTTCTGTTTCAAAGACGAAAAAACTTTGTTCTCTTATATTTGAAGAAAAGGCTGAAATTCTGATTTAGATCTAATGTGCAGGCAACAGCTTTGTACATGTTAAAAAAGTGAATTTCATTCTCTGGAGTCTGGCTGTGGTTAAGAAATTTTATCAACGCTCTGGTTATTACTCCCGCAGATGCTCTGAACACCTTAAACCTCTGGTGTACTCTTACCCAACCAGAGCTGATCTACAGTCAGCTTTTTTTAACCTGGTCCCAGAGGACCAAACACTTTGCCCCCTACAGGTTCATCCTGTATCTTCAACAACAGGTCTGGCAATCCTATACTGATCACTTAAAATACTCTTCATAATGACAGCAAGGATAATTCTAAATTTTCTTCCCACAGACTCTAATTCCTAATTACTCTGAACATAACACTCCTAGGAAAACTTTCAGCCAATTATTTCAACTACTAACACTGAAGCCATAAGATACAAATTTCTTCATTTTCTGCCTTCTCCATCTTTAGTATTTGTCTTCTCATCTAATTTATATGGTTTCCTCCCATCTTTATAAGGAAACCTTGAGCCACTACAGAGGTTACGATATATATGTATGCAGTGTCCTGAGAGTGTTACAAAAATGTTTAAAAAAAATGATAAAAATTAAGATACTATAATTTAGTAATATCAATTGGATTAAAATTGAACTAAATTAATAATTCTAGATGCTTTCTGTCCTACTGATGGCCTACTTATAAGAGCCAAATGTACATACTGTACATCTGAAATTAATATAGCTAACATGCTACATTAAATATATATGTAAATATATACAGCAGACATTTTAGGATACATGAAAACCATTAATAGTGATTATCTCTAAGACATACAGAAGAGAACAGTATTTTTACTTTCTGCTGTAGATTCTCTTTTTTTTTTCCCCACAATGGATATGTACTGTTTTCATAAAGCAGGATTCTAACTCAGGTCTGATGGATGCCAAAGCAATATGAATTAGTTACCTAACAAATTCAATACGTTTATGACAATGAATAGTATCTTTACAGGGAATCATCTATTTCTACCTATCATCATTCTTATTTTTTATCTTTCTATACACTAAACAAACAAAATGGGGAAAGGGAAAAAGAGGGGAGAGAGGGAGAGGGAGCTGCAGGAGAGGCAGTCATGGATGGAGGAATCGAGAGGGAGGAGAGAAGGAGGGCACTGGTAGGTAGAGAAAAAGACTCTTTCTCTAGGTGTCAGAGTCAGCTCTGGCTTCTAAGAAAAAAAAATGTAATGAAAATGAAGGGATGAAGAATACAAATGTTAAAACCTAGGTAATTAGATGTGAAATGGGAAACACGTATCACTTAGGATTCTAGAAAAGAAGTATCTTTGAAAAACAATTTGAAAAGCTACTCTTAGGTGATCTGATCACTCCTTAGGTCATCACATTCAGAAAAGCAGTGTCTCAGGTATCAAGAGGCTAAAGAAAGAAAAGGTGTCACTTCAAAAAGGTAGTTACCAATAGTTTAATTAGATTAAGTGCTTAGATAAAAGATTAAGAGTTCATAAATAAACATAAGCAGGGAAAACAGAGGCCCAGGTTTGCACACACATTTTAAGCATTTAGTTTCCTTAACTAATAAGGAGACATGCCATAATACTATTATGTCAAAGTCCTAATGTTTTCTACTATTTCCATACTCAGTTTCACCTTTTAGAATCTCATTTTAGAAAGTCTGAAAAGCAAGCTATTAATTTTCACATATAACCAAATTAAATCTAAAAAGCTAACACAGGACCCAAATCCCATCCTAGCTTGGCCCACTCAACAAATGTCAAAGGTCAGTCATGTGGCAGGACAAATGAAAGTCTACCTTTATCAGCCAAAGTGTGTCTGTTAAAAGAATAACAAGAATATCCTCAAGATAAGAGATTAGAATCTCTTGAGACAACTTCTTAAAATAAAAAAAAAAGAAAGAAAGAAAGAAAAAGTAAAAGAGATGCCTATGCCCTTGGTGATCCTTTCTATCTCTAAATTGATAGTAAATATATTCTATCTTTTCTGTGACTATTTTTTGTACCTCATCATCAACCTTTATAAGACCCTAATAAGCAAATGTAATGTTGCTTTTATAGCTATGACAGTCCCAAATTTTAACAGTGATTTAATAGTAGTACAACCAAATATAATTAATTTTTATCTATGAATCTTTTTATAAAAATAAAAGTTATCGGGGAGAGGGTACAGTGGTAGAGCACATGCCTAGCAAGCACGAAGTCCTGGATTCAATCCCCAGTACCTCCATTAAAATAGGTAAACAATAAATACAATCTAATTACCTCTCCCTCCAACAAAAAGAAAAAAAAAAGTATACAGTGTTGTATGTCAACTATTTCTCAATGAAATTGGAAGAAAAAAGAATTTTTAAGTTAAAGTTCTCAATCACAAAATACCCTTAGAGTGTTGGTTGTTAATCCTTTGTTTTCTGCAGTACGTTAGCTGAATGACTCTTAATGTTTGCTGACAGAAGTAGAAAAGACCCTAGACTGTGTGAGAAAACTGGGTTTTCATCCTGCCTCCGCCATGACTAGTCTTAAGGTCTGGGGAAACTTTCTTGACCTCTGAGCTTCTGTAAAATGGGGACCACAAACATACTTCACAGAACTGGAATATAAAATGATAGTGTCTGGTATATAGTTGGTGCTCCAT